TGACTGAATTTGATGAAGATAAATAATTGATGTTAAGGTGTGAAATTTTTATTTTTTATTTTCTTACTCTGTAGTATTCAAATTCAGGTATATATGTCCAGTAAAATATGCCTTTTTAATAATTCTCTTTGGGTACCAGACTACTGATTTTTAAAATAAATTAGAGTACCCTATTAGATGATGCAGTTGGAATATTTAAAAATATGTATGGAGAATAATCACTTGCGTATACTATCATCACATTTATTCAGGACCTGTATATTCTGTCATACACATTTTCTAGCTAAGGCCTTTGTAGTTTATTTTCAGATGTTTATCACACTTTCAGAAAGCAACTGAAAAATACCAATGCTTGGTCACCAGAAACGCCCAGGTCTGTAAGAGGTTGTTAGGCTGTGAAAGGTTTTTAGACATGAAAATAAAAACGTACTCATTGAACTTTACTGAGGCAAATGAGTTAATTAAACAGACACAAAGCTGGGGCAGTAAATATTGATTTGGTTCTTTTTGGCCTTCCCCAGTATAACTTAGTTAAAAACAAAAACAAAACAACTCAACCTACGGGAGTCACACCTCATCCGTTTTTTGTGACCTAAAATGTTATGGCCACCTATTATCTGCTGCTGTCTCCTCTCTTACCTTTGTCTTCATGGGGTTATGTCCTTTTTAATTCTGTAACTGTTACTTAAGTGGTTCTTGAGAAGGAATGGAGATGGTTCCATTTTCATTAAAGGGAGTAGAATCAAGAAATTCCTATTATGAGCTCAGAAGGACTGCAGGACCAACTCTTTCACTCTCTCAGTTATTATCACTAATGTCACAAAATACTACCTCCAGCCTTCTGATTACGAGTGCTTTAAGAGATGCACATGGCTCCTGGGTTTCACTGAAGAGTAGTCCTGACAGCTTCCAGTGGGGTTCTGGGCTTGGCACCCTGGTGCGGGGAGAGTTAGGATTTGCACATGATTTGGATTTGTAGCACTGAGCTATGTAGAAGTTGTTGGCTGAGACAGCAAAGGTGCAGACCTAATAGGATTTTTACCTTCCTCTGACTAAGGATTATACTCCTTATCAGATGCTCTGTTTTTGTTGAATTTAATTACCCGACAAGTTTTGGATCTGAAAATGCGGATGTTTATGGGGACACTCAGAGCATTGCATCGTGTGCCAAATTTGCCCTTTTTGGTTTTCCTTCTTGCTGGTTGTCTAACCCCGAGTCTGTGGCCACTGCTAGGGGTTTAACACTGGCCACTCATCCTGAATGACCAGAAGTCTTGCTAAGTAGAAAGGCTTTCTGGAAAAAGAGACACCAACGTGAGAACCTGAAGATGGAGAACTCAGTATGGGCTTTATGTGTTGCTGGCAGAGCCCTTTAGAACTTAGTGCCCATCTCCCAGTGGTCACAGTCTGATAGTGGTTATTCAAGGTAGCCGAATCCCTTTGTGGAAAGCTCTGGAACTGACCAGCCAGTTTCCCTGGGAATAAGCCCCTGGGGTGTGGCCTTTCTGCACTGACCCACTACTATTATGCTTGTCACCAAGAGGAGTTGCCTGTTTGTTCTCAGGGTTTATTTTATATAAAATACCCCAAGATATTACTTTACAGTGGTATTTATAAGAGTTTGACTGGAGAGTTGCCAAATAGTATTATTACATAATATTTTTTTAAAATTTGGCATAAATTTAATAAGAAACTCAGAAAATCTAATGCTAAGAGTAAATTAGAAACTACCACATTGCTCATGGTGCTTAATATAACTACATAGTTTAGATATTAAAGTTTTATTATGATAAACATCACTGCTTGGATATTATCTTCAGTCTACTTAAGGTCCAGAAAATATGGTGATTCACATTCCAGCATACAGAAAACTCAACCATTCCCTTTGCATAATAGCCCGCCTTAATTCAAACAGGTAACAATGACCTTAGTAGCGAGGGGACACTAACCTGCACGTTCCAGTGCAAGTGAACGAAACTTAGATGTAAGAAAGGACTCGATATTTTATGGAGAAAAGAATATTTTCAGGAAAATCTGGAAATATCTCAGCTTTCCTTAGAAAGATCAAGTAAGTAGGAATATTTGCTGTATATTTACTTGTAATAATCATTTGACATAGCGAGCTTTTTGGTGTGATACCAAGTGCAAAATCACCAGTTTGGTGGAATGTACAGTTTCCTGTGGTTGTTTTCAGGAGCATGTGAAGAATCTGAAATGTAATGGCTGAGTATTGACCTGGATTCTCAAATTGCTGAGATGTGTGATATCATTTGTCCTTTTAAATACCAGAGTCAAATACACAAACAGAACTTGGCATATCACATACAAGTCGATATTTAATGCAACTTTGCTATTTGAAAACAGAATATATATATTTTGGAAACATGCTTGTAGTCTAAAGTACTTGTATATGTAAGCGAATTTCCCCATAGGAACTAATGGAAATTCAGATGATTCATTCTACAACCCCAAAATATTTATATGAAATGATTATGATACTATAAAATGATAAAGACAATGCAAAATATAAAGAAAAATAAGCAAATGAGCATGCACTTACATTTGAAAACCTTCATGGTTGGTATGAGGGAGACAAGAGAGAGAAGGGTTATTGTATAGGACAACTTCCACTATCACTAATCACTATTGGCTCAATAAAATCTTTTTTGGCTCAATAAAACCCCATCTAGTGACTCAATAAAATCTTTTTTGGCTCAATAAAACCCCATCTATTGACTCAATAAAATCTTTTTCTTTTTGTGCAACTTTAGTAAGAAACCTATCCAATCCACTTGCTTTTGCTTGCTTTTGAGAAATCTGCTGTTAAACAGATTCATTGTTTGGACAGTTACAGCCTTATTTGGGTGGTGCTTTTCTACAAAATTTTGCAGTGTTTCTCACATTTTACAAATCTCCCTAATCCCATTTGAAGTGAGGGATTCCCCTGCCTTTTTCTCCTCCTTCGCTGTAAATAAGATCTCCTCCATAACTGCTTGCCATTAGGAGGTGATCACCCACAGTCCTTGAGGGGATGGAGAGAAGGAGAGAGAAAAGAGAGAGGGAGAGGGAGTGGGAAGAGGAGTGGGGGAGGGGAGGTAGGAGTGGGAGGGGGACAGAGGGAGAAAGAGAAACCATTGGCTCAGTGTGATCATGTGATGTTCTGTATTATGTATTACTTATACTGCAAAACATCACTCATTTATCAAGTTGGAAATGTTTGTGTGTCAGGGCTGGGGATTTAGCTCAGTGGCAAAGCGCCTGCCTGGCAAGCGCAAGGTGGTGAGTTCGGTTCCCCGGTACCAGAGAAAAACCCAAAAAAAAAAAACAAAAAACAAAAAGTTTGTGTGTCTTGTGGAAAATTTGCAGAATAAGTTATTTGCAATTTAAGGATATCTATCTATCTATCTACTATCTATCTATCTATCTATTTATCTATATATCTGGAAGTCTGCCTGGAGAGTAACCAAACGCCTAGCTTACTCCCAACCCCATTAGGCAGGTGGTCGTCCCTTTCCTAGTAGTCCGGGAGAGAAACTCTGCTTATAGAGAAGAGGGAATTATCAGAGAAATAATACAGATGACTTCCCAGAACTGAATTGCATAAGGACTGGAAGGTGCCATACAGTGCTCAATACAGTGAGGAAGCAAAGACCCAAACTAAGGAGCTTTATGAGATTTCATGAAAATGATGCTGAATAAGATCTCCTGAAGTCTTTTCAAAGTGAAGCAGTGAAGGTTATGGAAAATATCTAATAGTAGAATAATGTCCAATTTTCAACAGCAAAATTAGAAATCAGAGGAGTTTACATAAGGCCTTTGAAGTACTGAGAGAAAATAACGTTCAATGTAATATTTTGTACCCACCAAAATTATGGGTCCACTGTGAGGGTTGAAAAGGAGGTGTTCCTTTCAGGCAAGGTCTTGTCAAATTTATCTTCCACAAATGTTTTTGGGTGACAATACCCGAAGATTTGTGTCTCTGAGAAAAGGGAGAATGGGGATCATGAAGGGGAAGACAGGTCCAGTGGGGTCCAGTACAGAAGGCAGGTAAGGGAGCTCCCAGATGATGCTACGGAGAAGTCTGAATGGAAGCTGTGCATAGAGCTTTGAAGGCAGCAGACAGACCAGAGCCTGAGTGTGAAAGGAATAGAGGTGTGTCCAGGAACAGAATGGGCATGGCAAATTACCTGATGTTTGACCTTACTGAGGTGTTTTAGAGTAATGTCAGATAATTGAGATCTATAAGTGCTAACTAAATGGAAAAATAATCAAGAAAATAAGGCAAAACTTAAAATTTAAAAATGGAGCAAGAAAGAAAATGTAATTAAAGTAGCACAGCTGTGAACAATATTTGCAGAGTCATAATATGAATATGGAATAGCAATGTAACACAAAACCAGTGATGTATATTGGAATGTACTGGGGACAAGAGGGGTTTCCATGATCTTATAGCATAAAGATGTTTAAAATACATTCAACCAAGCTGAGGATATAGCTCAGGGGCACAGTGCCTGCCTGGCAAGGGTGAGGGTCCTGAATTCGATTCTCAAGGTTAAAAAAATTTTTAAAATACATTAAATCAGGACACAGCAGTATAAACATTCTATTCAAAAACACGTAGGCAAACACTAAAAGGAAAAATGTGGGGAGTTCAAAGTGATTCTCTTGGTGGTGGGGAAGCAGGGAGAAAGAAAACAGCTATATGACAGTGCCTGGTATTTACTTATACAGTATCTGCTTAAGAAATGTGTATGAATTTCATCATTTACATTGGCATCATTCCCTTTAAAGTCTTTTCTTCATTAAATTTAATACATACATACTTCTTATGGAAAAGTTTAAAAATTAGGTAGCCATAATCATAATTTCAAATAGGAGTTTCTAGGATTATGAATACATAGTGCACCTATATTACCATCTTTGCATTTTTTTTGCTTTATAGAACAATATAGTCACTCATAACACATAAAATACAAATAATCAAACCTTCTGCTTTGCAGGGCGGAGAGCACTGTTACTATCATGGAAGCATCAGGGGCGTCAGAGACTCCAAGGTGGCTCTGTCGACGTGCAATGGACTTCAGTACGTGGGACCCTCACTAGGTCCTCTCCCCTCCAAGCTTGATTTTGTCCATTCAGTCCTACTGTCTTCCCCCACAGAATTATCTCAGTGACTGTTCTGTGCCACTTCTGTGTTAGGAACTAGATATGCAGTGGTTCACAGGGAGGCAAAGTCCCTTCTGGAACACTTAAGAGTTTTGAAGAGATTCAGATATTAAACAAATGATTGCACAGATTAATACTTAAGTGTCATTTTAGTAGGTGTTTTAAAAGGGAAGGAGAGGACCAGGGGCATATTAGTTAGCTTTCTGTTACTATAACAAAATATCTGAGATAATCAGTTATAAAAAGAAAAAGTTTCTTTGAGCTCACAGTTTTGGAGGTACCTGTCCGTAACTGATTGGCCCTGTTGTTACTGACCCTGTGGTGAAGTAGCACATCTTGGTGAGTCTCCATGGTGCCACAAAACCTCTTGCTACATAGCCAGGAAGCAAAAAGAGTGAGAAGGGACCTGGGATCCCCTGAATTAGAGCTGAGTATAGCTAGCAGTTATCTAGGCAAGGGTGGGCTGGCAAAGAGGATCTCATGCATTGCTTTGCAGGCAGGATCTAAAAATAACATCTCTGGGTACCTTTTGGACACAAACACAGTAGCACCATATATGAAGACCTAGTTTTCCCACGTGTTGAAAAAGCATCTGGAAACTTTTCTTATACTTTATGAAAAAAATCTCACATCTCTCAAAGTGAAATGTGGTTTATGTGACATAAAATCATACTGTATTTTGGAAATTCACAATTTATAAAGATACTTCCATTTGTTTCCTCAGAATCAGATGGTTTTAGATTATGCTTATACAAAGAACCTGTTTTCATCTAGATGATACTGGATTTGCCTACATGTCACTAGAAAATTTACACTAGTTGTACATGGTTCTGTAATAACCCAGGATATTGTCACTGTATGAGTAATCTTATCCCAGATTAATGTTCTGATCTGTCTACATCAAAAACTAATTGTCATTTATATGTTATTGGTGTACACTTTCACACTTTTTGTAGCCTCTGGGCTCCCTAGTAGAGTTCTGGACCACAGTGGGAGTCTATATAGATATTTGGATTAGGTTTGAGTCAGTCTAAAGCTATTTGTTCACATGCATTCTTTGTTTGAAAGACATAATCATGATGTTTACTTGGTATTTATGGCCATGTGCAGTATTTGTTAATTCTCTCCTGTGTGGTCTCTTGTGCTGCAGTGGTATGTTTGAAGACAGCACCTCTGTATATATGATAGAGCCACTGGAGCTGGTTCATGATGAGGTGAGTCTGCCACATCTGTTTCCTTATGGTGTTCAACGCTTCAAGCATCTTTACCTTTGAGCAGTAAAGAAAACATAAGTATAGATTTCAGAGTGTGTTTATGCGTGTTACCTTGTGTCAAACTTCGAAAGGTACCATGAGTTTTGAAGCTGGAAGTTGCACATGCCAGACCCACATACCAGTAAGGGACAGTTAGAAGCATCGCACTTAAGCTGCAGAAAGTGAAATCAGTATTTCCAGTCTACAGAGTGAGGAGAGAGGACCTTTCATTTTGCAGATCTCCTCAAAGTAACTTTCTTTCTCACTGTCTTCTTTAGATGACTATGTGACTGCAAGTATGTATTTAAATTTATATTGGCATCAAAATATTCAATGGGGAAATTTGTAGGCTCACTTATGATTACCTGATACAGTGTTTACTTTCAAAATAGGGAAGAAAATAATGTTGAATCATGCCAGTGGCCTAGAAAAGGAATCAGATAGTCTAGCATTGTTGCTCAGTAGTAGAATGCAACCAAATTTAAAATTTGGTGTATATTCATCAAGTATTATATGGAGGGCTTACTGCTTGTTGGGTACCATTTTAAGTGCTAGGTATATGTTAGTGACAAAACAGATGTAGAATCTGGACCTAATGGAGCTTCTAGTCTGTGGGGGCAGATACGGAATACACAGGGTGAATGAGGAATTACACACAGTAGGACATTTTAGATAATGATACTGTTTAACAACAAAAAAAAATGAAACCAGGAAAATAGGAGACTTACATTTTTGTGTGCATTGCTAGGAAAGACCACAAAGAGAAGGTGGGTTTTGAATAAACACCTTAAGGAAATCAGAGAGCTGTAAGAACATTCCAGGAAGTGAGCAAATGGGAATGTCCTGAGGTAAAAGTGTCCTTGCTGTGTTCAAGGAACAGGGGTACTTGGAAGGAGTAAACAAGAGGGGAAATGGTAGGAGATGAAGGCATGGCGAAGTCAGATCAGTGAAAAGAGCTAGTAATGGGAAGAATATTTCTAAGAATTGTGTCAGAATAATTATTTGATGGGGTGCAGAAAGCAGTTTTTAATCTTTGGAGACTTCAAATTTGGGTAAAGTAAATTTTGGAACAGATAATAGTTATCCAGGCTGTTGATGACAACAGTTGAACAGATAGACATTTATTTTCTTGGTTGAGCAGTGTTTATATGACTATGGAGTAAATTTCAAATTTGGGGTAGGCAGGCTGAGGCAGGAGGATTGCCATGAGTTTGGGGCCAATCTTGGCTAAATTAGCACATTCAAGGCCAGCCTGTGCTACTTAGTGAGATTCTGCCTCAAAAAAAAAAAAAAAAAAAAAAAAGAATGAAGCAGAAAAGTCATTAAATTATAATTGGTTGTTGGAATGAACATGTTTTATTTTTTAACTAGTAACCATAAAAATTTCCAGATATTAAGGGAACTTAGCCTAGTTTAAGACATTTTGATTAAATAAGATGTTTTTTCCCCTTACTCCACTAGTAGATAAATGACATCAAAGTTGTTGGATTCATTCATTCATTCAAAAATCTGATTTTGGTTTTTAGGTTTGATTAATATATTTGTTACCTGTTGAAAAGATCCTAAAGATCAAAACAAAAAATCCAAAATAATAATTAATTTAGACCCTAGAATTTTAAAAATACATAAATATGATAATTTTTTCATTATATCCTTAATGAAGGAAATTTTGCAAATTCAGTGAATTAATAAAATGAATGTTATAGTGTCTGTTAAACTATTTAAAAGATATATATAGTATTGTTTTGATAATATTTAAAAATTACTTTTATATTATTGTAGATATAATTACATTGTTCAGGGACTCACTATTACATGCTTACTATCTTCTGTTTTTGCCCACCTTCCTTCCTTCCTTCTTTCCTTCCTTCCTGCTGCCTGCTTTTTGTTCATGTAATGATTTGTTCTCATCCTTGCCATGGGTGGAAGGAAAGAACAGTACTTGAAATTTTCAGTTAGTTGGTTTTAAAAAATGTGCTGCTGATCCAGTTGAGAATTTCATTACTCTAGATATTTTTTCACCTGTTACTAGAATTAAGAGATTACTGCAATTGACTTTAGAATTTTTGATATTTACATTATTGTTATTAATTTTAGTATGCTTCATAATAGGTAATATGGGCAGGATACTTCTTTTTAGAGTGGGATACTTTTAATAAGAATTCACTCTCCTTCAAGCAAAAATTAGTAAAAACATTTTAGATTATGTCACATATTTAAAGGGTTCTTTTTATAACTATTTTTGTGACTGTAAAACTAATATACTACAGGAAATTTAGAAAAGCAAAACAAAAATAATTAAATAGAAATTACCCATTTTTCCATCCCCCAAGATAACTTCCTTTCACCTTTTAGTATACATTCTTCCATTTCTTCAGTGATACAGTATTTGTATTTCCATGTGTATTTTAAAATAAATTTGGGGGTCATTATTTTATAATGTAATTTAATTGAGTAATGTATCTCTTGACATCTCAGTTATCTTAATTGTTAAATAGAGATAAATATGCATTGTATGGAGTTCTTATAGAAAATAAATTGGGTAATATGTCTTTAAACATTGTCTGGGGCATACTGTATATTCAGTATTGGAAGCTATAGCAATAATAACAGTAATAAATCATTTCGAGAGGTGTAATTTCCAGCTCATACGATGAGTATTTTTTAGTGTTGTTAATAGACATTGTTAATGCTCTCAAACTGTGCAATGAATTTCCTTCCACAATGTGTGAGAACGCTTTTTGCCTTGCAACTGTAATTAGTTATGGGTATTGTATTTTTAAAATCTTTCCCAGTTTGACGAATGGTGAAAATTGGTACTTCATTCTTTAAAAAATTCCATTCTAAAGGCAGTTCAGCATCTTTCATAGTTTATTGGCCGTGTTGTGTCTTTCTTGAAGAAAGCTAAGGTTTGAGATTAGTTAACAAGATTATACTTTTATTTAAACTGAGACAAGTGGAGGATGCTCTATTTTATTTAAAATTAATATTTCAGTAAGACATACACTTTTCACTTTTGAGAGCTAAGAGTTTGACATATAAGTATTCCTGTTTGGGGAAGGACATTAGCTGAAGTTCTAATGCTGTTCCACAGAGGCTCATTCATGTCTTGCTTTTTCATTGCCTACAACTGTTTGTGTTGCAGAAAAGCACAGGCCGACCACATATAATCCAGAAAACCTTGGTGGGACAGTATTCTAAGGAGATGAAGAACCTCAGTAAGTTTTAATTCAAATAGCCCTTACATTTGAAGTCGTAGGAACTTGCTGGCACCCTTTGGCTGTGCAGGCTTGCCGGGAGGTGGAATTCATCTACGATCTGGGTAAGAAGTGTGAGTGGGAGATGGAGTGGATAGAGCCTTCCACATCATGAGCAACAAGAGGGGTTGCAGCGGGAAACCTAAAGCTGCTTTGGGAGCCGGAGAGTGCGGTCAAGTTTAGAGGAGCAATTTGTAGCAGGCTTCTCCTTAAGCTTTCTGGTGTCCTGCTCTGTAGCTGGCTTCTGCTGCTTCTCTAGTAAGCTCTCTGAGACACCTTACCCAGGCCGGTGTGAGCAAAGGCTCCTTTTGGATGGTGCGTATATGTGATGCTATTCCTATATAGTAGAAACAGAAGTCTCTAATCATTTATGAGAAATGTATGTCATACATTTTTTAAAAATTCTAAATTAATTAAGCATAGTAAGATTCTCTCAAAGTTTTGGATATTATTAGGTAGATGTAGGTCAAACATACATCTAATGGAACTTGAACAGCTCATGTTTTTCATGATATTGGGAAGAAAATCACATATTTGAAGTATATGACCATGAGAATGTGAAATGTTTAATGACCAGTGTCCTTTTATCATCTTAGTTGGCCTTGGTTTTGTGATGACGTACATTATCAATGCTGCTGTTCTTTTATGGACTGTTTTTAAAACGTCCCTCACTGAAACACAGACAAGTGTGCGTTTTGTTCATTTTTCTCTTACACAGGTGTGGAAAGCAGTGAGCAGTGGCCCTTTCTCTCTGAGTTACAGTGGTTGAAGAGAAGGAAGAGAGCAGCCAGTGTGAGTGTGGCCTGTTTTAGCTGTGTGTGCATCGCCCCACAGTACCTAAGTGTCCTGAGCACAGCTCAGACTTGTGGAATTCTCTCTTCACAGCGAAATGACAAACAAAAAGGCCCAAGACTTGAGCCTTATGAGCACACTGCTTTTTATTTATCTTCCCCTATTAGTGATTTGAATTGATTACAGTGTCCTATGAATCTTGATGTCATATAAAGAATAAATCGCTTTAGTAGTGCACACCTGTAATTCCAGCATTTGGGGAGGCTGAGGCAGGAGAATGGCAAGTTCAAGCCCAGTTTAGTCAACTCAGTGACTTAAGTAAGACCCTGTCTAAAAAAATTTAAAAAAATAGGGCTAGGGATGTAGCTTAGTGTGAAGACCCTGGTTCTATCCCTAAGAGAACAGAGAGAGAGAGAGAGAGAGAGAGAGAGAGAGAGAGAGAGAGAGAGATTTCAGCTCTGTTTTCAAAGTGTTTTACTATGAAAATTATACTACTTTTTTACTACTGAAAGTACAGAGAGATTTTTTTTTTGGTAGGGAGTGATATAGCACCATATAAAACATTTCTTTCAATAAAAATGTCGGGGAAAGAGGTAGATTTTAAAATCCTGACTAATCATATTTATTTGTATTTCTTTCAAATTAAAAACTTGGTTATGCCAACTTTTGAAGCCAGATGTGTTTTTCAGAACAGAATGAGTCTGACCATTAGTGATATGAGAGGTACTAAATAAAGATCGTGTTACATCCTCAGAAGTTGTGGTATACCTCACATATATTGGTACAAGAACGGGGGCCTTGTAACCAATTGCTACGTTCCTACTCTTTTTCATAATAGATTAGTAAAAGGCAAAAGATTTTTTCAATCTGAAGAGAAACCAGAGTTTTCATAATAGATTAGGAAGCTGTAATGATGGGGACTGTTTAGTAATTACATGGTGAATGCCATCTAACCAAGAATTAATTCCACAGTTTATGTATTGCATGGTAATTTACTAGATAACTTAATAAGTAACTGGAGTAGAAATTGCGCATTTTAGATAATGTTTAGCTGAATGTATTTTTTGTGTGCAAAAAAATTACAATACCAGCTATCAAAAATTTAGCTGAAGGTTAAATCATCCTCTCTTTTACAAGCCTCTGCTGGCTTTATGTGATTATGTATACATTTTGTTGTTGTTTACACTTAGAGATCTCTTTTTGCTTGCTCTTGAAATGCCAGTTGGTCATAGTAAGTTTTGTATAGGGCTTCCTTTAAGTACAGTTTTCCAGTGAACTGACCAGCAACTCTCTACATAAAGAGAAAGAGCTGCCACTGTTAATTTTTCAACTACAAAAAAAGAAATACTTTGTGCTTACTCTTAAAGGATTATCTAATAATGATTAAAATTTAGAAGAGTTTAAAATATAATAATTGCCAATATTTGTTCCTTTTAGAAGTTGTGTGTTTAAGGACTGGTACATTTTTCAAAGAAATTTGTATTTATTTTAACAGTATTATCCTAAGACATTTGCTCTAAAACAATTTTACATATAGATGTTCCATAAAACCTACAAGAGTTTCCTCTCTTAATGAGTACTTTGTAGGTAATGAAGCAAAATACTTGCCTAAATACTTGAATGTTCCCCAATATTTTATAGTTGCCTTAAAAACAATTTCCCTGACCAAGTTCCTTGTGGTGTTTATCAAGTAGACAGCCTAAGGTTCTAATATTCAAAGTTGATTTACAACTTAACAAAATATTAGAGGTATATTTTATATCAATCACTGTTCTGACCATATATTTTTATTTTTATTTTCTTCAGCCATCTCGTGGTGTGTTTGAAGAAATGAAATATTTGGAGCTTATGATTGTTAACGATCACAAAACGGTAAGAATATAGAATTGGTGGGCTTTATCCACAATAGCCTACTTAAGAAAGAATACATTTCACCTCAATTTGTTGTCTATTATTCATTAAACCAAGATATTCAGATACTTTATGTTTTGACAATATTAAATGTCTTGATTTATTTCTTGGTGTTCAGAGACATGGATGTTTGTAGAGTTTCCACTATTCTGTGTTTTTCCTCCATAAAATAATGATTATAATAACTAGCTTTAGCTGTTTGACATCTTTTATTTGTTTTCATTTAACACTCTCATACTCTGCTTTTCTTCATCTGTGCTAGGTCACTGGTTCCTAATTTTATTTCATACCTATGTGCTCTTAACATGTTACTTTTAACTAATTATTTGTGGTAAATATAATTATAGGAAGTAAATGTATAATAAAGATATAGGTAGTGAGCCTGTCTTTAACCAAGGGCTTGTTTTGTTAAATATTGGATAGATGTATAATCTTATGTTACACCTCTAAAAGTAAAATATGATCGAATGTGACATTTTAGTAACACTGTAAAGAAATATGGAAAACAATCATTCCTCTCTATTTGCTCATCTTCGAGATAAAGCAGAATCTCTCTTAACTATATTTTCTGTAGCCTTCCCCCATGGCATGTCTTGGTTAAAGCCTAGAACATGCAGAAGGGCCTTGGTCAGTGGTTATGTGCCACTCTACCCAACAGTGTTGGGTGCCAGTGAATTTTAACAATCTGTACCCTGTGGTGGGATTTATGTTTGCTGATCTCAGTTGTATAAGTATTCTCACTGTGGCTGATTTCAAGCTACCAGGGTGAGATAGTTGATTGTAGAAGTAAGCAACAATGTGTCCAGTTGGCTTTTGTGAGTTGGGAAGATCTGGCTTCAACAGTACTGCTATACTCTCCAAACTGTTTGGACCAGTTTTTAATTTTGTCATAGTTATATAATTTAATCCTAAAAATTGCATATGCTAAGTGTAGTTGTTTTTATGAAAATGAAGTTGCATTTCTGGAAAGACTTTATAAAGATGAGAATCTGTAAAAATGCTTAAAAGTCAAATGTGGGTGAAAAACTTGTAAAAAAATTGGAGCAAGAATTCAGATTTCCTTGTACTGTTCTTGTACTTTGTGGAGGCCAAAATTAGATTAGTAGAGTAATAAAGTTGTGTTACATGCTAAAATGACAACTTGAAATTTTAATTAACAGACCCTACTCAATTGCTTGATGTGTTTACATTTTAAAAATGACAACTTCATTTATAGTTAAACATCAAGTCTCCTCCTTTAGTGGATTTTTAAATTAATCAGCAAATACCAATTTGGTTGTGTTGAATATAGTTTTAATGTCAGAACTTCTGATTTTCCTGTGCAGATTTATTTTCTATCCCAGTGGTCTTTAACTACATTGCTTGAGATATGTCAATAAGAAGCAGAATATATCAGAATTACATACATTTTTAGAGTGGGCTTCCCTGCTGGGAAGGAAAACCAAATATGTAGGCAAGGATTCCGATAAGGAAGGCTAAAATATGAGTTTCTGAAGCACATTAATAAGGCTTTTCATCAGAATTGTTTTTGGTGATTGGGACATTGAGATTTTTTCCAGCTTCTCAAGTCTAAGCATTGCAGTGTGCTATGCCATTATGACTTTAGAAGCCTAAGCTTTCCTCAGTATCTATTATAAAAATACATCTAAATTAGTAAAGGCAATAATTAAGATATATACAAAGTGCATTCCCAAATAGGTAGTAATCTATAGAATCAGTTTCAAATGTTGACTTGCAATTCTGCATTTTTTGTGCCACCATACTGTATAGGACAAGAAACAAAGTTATCAGTCAGAGGGCATATCTGAGTAACTGCAAAATAAGAAAATTGATACATTTTTCAACCTGATAATTTTAAAATATTTTAAATATATTTTGAATGTATTTATGTTTTGGGCATTGAGGCTTGTACTCAGGGCCTTATGTAGGCTAGGCAAGTGCTCTATTAATGAGCTATGCCACCAGCTCCCTTTAATTTATTTTTTATTGTTGTTTTTTACTTTAAAAATTAAAAAACTAACAAAACAACAATGCAGACAAAACCAAAACAACAAAAATGATGCATGACCTCAAAACAAAATGATAGGAATTAATAATGGTTGCTACATTACATACTGTTTTCTTCAACGAAGTTGCTCAGTATAGCAGACATAAGAATATAAGATTGATCAACAGTCAAAGACAGTAACAAGTAATAATAAAAAAAAACATTGGAAATGGTGCAGAGCTTCACCATACAAGATAGTATAAGCTCAACAATGGTTCTTATACTGCGTGTTGTTGTTTTCATATCAGTCATTCTGATTACCAAATTCAAGCTTGCAAAATTGGTCAAGAAAAAAGAAAATTTTAAGCATTGACTGTTCATTTCAATAAACCACAGACATCAGCAATACACCTATTCCAGCTCTCCTTATTCAATTTATTTTTTAATCTTTTTTTTTTTTTTTTTTGGTTTTTCTCCAGTACCGGGAACCGAACTCACGACCTTGTGCTTGCCAGACAGGCGCTTTTGCCGCTGAGCTAAATCCCCAGCCCCTTATTTTTTAATCTTTATAACTGATAAACATTTAAATAATCTTGTCTTCATCTTATAATTAATGAAATAACACCCTTCTTAAAATATTTATATATATATAAAACATATATATTATATACTTTTATATACATTATACTATATATTCTATGATGAAGTTACCTTATTCATACTCTCACATCTTTTAATTTAAAGAAATACATTTTTAAACCAATTAATTGTGGTAATTTATTTTGTTATAATTTTTTGTTAAAATTAGTAAAAACTTGTCATAATATATTCATCTCTCTTTGAAGCCAGAAAAAAAGAACAATAATTTGTACTAAAAAATTTGGTGGGAATATATACATTAAAAAGTGAGAGGGGGAAAAAGAAAGAAGAAAGCTTTTACTTTTGAATGCAAGCAATGCCTAAGGTAGAAAGGTACAAAGAAACTACTTAAGATGATTCCTGTTATTATAAAGAGATATTACTTCTTTTTTTTATTATTATTATTATTTTTGTTGTTGTTGTTTTTCTCCGGTACCAGGAACCGAACTCACGACCTTGTGCTTGCCAGGCAGGTGCTTTGCTGCTGAGCCAAATCCCCAGCCCCAAGAGATACTACTTCTTGACTAGTAGAACTAAGTATATTCCTTTGTTTAAAGGCCAGGTTGCTGTATATTCTTGCCTATTAAAGTCCCAAATAAATGTCATTTTTTTTAAAAAGCGTGGTTTTTTTGAGAGTTTAGAAAAAGTTCTTTTTATAGATATTCTTTATAAGGTGAGGATAATATTTAAATATAATTCCCACAAAACACCAAAGATACAATAAATCAGAGCAAAGATCAAGTACTTAAATTCAAATGCTGGAAGTCTGACTGAACTAAAATAACTAGCATATCTATTTTTCAATGTTTGGAAATTTGCTGTTGAGCTTTAGGATAATCATGCCACTGAGTATACTCATCTTACAATGTTTATACCATATGAGGTAGCAGTTGTTTTGATAACTATTACCTTTGGGTTGAAAATAAGTTCTAATTTCACTTTTTTTAAAAGGCAGATTTCTTAAAGATTTTGTTTGCTTAGGGAGTGAAAGCAATTTGTAAATTGTTTTCAGTGATAAGAAAATGTGAAGGTAAGTTTTATCCTAAGTGGAGGTTGCACATTTTTCTTTATTTGCAAAATTAGTTCTTATTCATGCGGGAAATAGAAACATTTTGCCTACATTTGCATTCAGGTTTACCTCTGTAATTCAGAGTAACCTAATATTGGATGCCTGAAAAATGCACATATTTTAAATAAGCATCACATTATGGGTGCCTTTCAATTAAGAAGAAAAATTTCTCCATTTTGTAGAAAGCATCTTAGTACCCGGCTGGCAGAATCTAATTTGTAAACTAATTATAGCCTTGATAAGAGTCTGCAAACATTTCTTTGAGTCTTTTACACTAAAAGTAAATATTAAAACCTTATCACAATAGAGAATTTGTTGAAAGATTTTAAAGTGTATATATGAAAAGCAGGTGTTTTGCTTACATTTTGGCTGTATTATTAAATATGAGCCAATAAGTACAAACTTTTTCAACTTAAATCTCAATGTGGTTTTCCTCACATAAAAACCATTATATTTTATACACACCTGACAAATGATAAGTTCTTTTTAATAATCATGACTTGTTGAGAATACACATAAACTATTTATGCTAATAAGGATTTTAAATTGAACAAATTTCTGTCCTGACTCATCCTAGAGTAGGCTTTGAATGTGAGCTATGTGATCTTGGATAGGCTACTTTCAGATACTAAAACTCAGAGCTGCAAGGAGTAAATAGTTGTAGAAGCATTTCTAGCTATTCCTACGGTTAGTGTTCACTTAAATGGTGCTTCAAGTTAACAGCTGATAATTGTTGTTCGGTCCTTACTTACTCTTTCAGCAATGTTGGGCCATCAGCTGCTCTCTTCTTGGAAACCCTGTTTTCATCTCTCAGCCTCTGTCACATAGGAGCTCTTGAACCTCATTGACTATTTTATTTAAATCTTTTAAATTTAATCCCTAGAATTATGGGAATGCCTCATATTTTGGCTGGGGTGTTCTCTTTCTATTCTCTCTTTCTGAATATCGATTTCCAGGCTCAAGTCTCTAGGTAGTGTCATGACTTCAAAATCATTGCTTCCTACCTTATAGCTTGGAGTTTCATGCTCCTGTGTCCAGCTGCCTGCTTGTCATCTCTACTTCGATGCTGAATAAACACCTCACATTTAACATTTCTAATTCAGCACTCTTAACTTTCTGCTGCAGTTTGCATGTGTTCCCTAAAGTTCATGAGTTGGAAACTGAATCCTCAAGTCCATCAGTTAATACTATTTGGAGGTAGAGTCTTTGAGAAGTAACTAGGATTGGAGGAGGTATGGAGGGCAGAACCAGCATGGCGGCATTAGTGGCTTTAGAAGAAGAAGATGAGCCTGGAGCTAGCATACTTGCGGTTTCACCATGCTTTCCCCCGGCCTTTCCCATGACTGTGAGAGGCACCATCAGTCTCTATCCAAGTTTAAAACCTGGGACTCCACTTTTATTCTCCTTTATCACCTTCCACTTCCAATAGGTCAGCAAGGCTTGGGAGTCCAGCTTCATAGGGTTTGATTCTCTTCTCCCTGCAGTTGTTCAGCTACACCACATTTCACCGGCACTATTGCAGTACTTCCCCACAGGTCTGTCGCTAGCATTCCTGATCCCCTCTGATTCACCCCGCACACAGTAGGCAGACCGCTCTTTCCAAAAAGAGAATCAGAGACTTGAAAATTACAAATGTGAAATAAATGAAAGAAATCACATTTTGCTAAATTTTAAAAGACTTTATTAACCTTAAATTCACAAGCCATATTTTCTATGACCATTATAGTTTTAAAAAAATCCCCACAAAGGACAAATGAACACTGAGAAGCTAAATAAATTCATCTTAATATGTATGTTACAGTAGTGAGTTAAGAGGTGTCAGCTAATATTTTTTTTCTTTTCGTGATATGTACTTTTGAAAGTCAAGACATTAAAAAAATATATTATCCAGCAGCATTTAGTACTTGACAGTGCTGTGCAACCAATGCCTCTGTCTAGTGACAAAACATTTTCATCACCCCAAAGGAGCTTAACGTGGAGACTTTTGCTTTCACTCAAAAAATGTCTTTGAAATTTTTCAGCTTTCAGATTTTCATAGGCAACTTGAAATACTAAACTATTTGCAAAAACTTCATAGTTCTAAGTTTAAGAAGTGTTAAAATGCCTGAGTTTACATTAATATGATGTTTTAAGACCTAGTCGTATGCATATAGTGAAGCATAAATTTTTTTTAGTTTTACAAGAACAGTTTGGGTCAAGGTATGATACACAGTAATAAGAACAATACAAGCAATAATAGTAATGTGATACCAATAGTTTTAAATTAATGAATGCTACTAGTAGCACATTATTAATTAACTGATCACATGCTTATGATAGGTTATCAGTGTTAACAAATAAACATTAACAAATAAACATTATCAGTAAGCATAAAACAGTTTTCTTTGTCTAGAGAGTTAAAGTGTAGAGCGAATGACATGAAATGACAAGTGTAGAGCAAATGACAAGTGTAGAGCAAATGACAAGTGTAGAGCAAATGACATGAAAGAAGTCTGACAACTTCATAGGATGAAAGTGGATAAACGAGAAAAAAAGGATATAATTTTCCAACCTAGCAAAACCTTGAATATTTATGAAATTTACATTTTTTAGTAATTATAATTGAAGTCAAATTTTGAAGTCTTTAGTATAAATCTGAATTGTTATATTTTTCTTTTTCCTCAGTTTTAAAAATCACCAAAGCCTCAGGGACCAGTAGAGGGCATGATGTTTCTGTGGAGATTTGAGTTTTCAAATGTCCTCTTAGAGGATCATTGAGCAAAGTCTAGGACTTCTTACTGAATACATAGCCCTCCGACTGGGTATGTAGCTCAGTTTGCTGAACATCCCTGGGTCCCAGATTCCTATCTCTAGTGCAGCAACGAAACAAAACAAAAACATGTGGAGTGATTCTACTTATTTAATTTTCTTAGTCATAACCAGTCACTTGGTGTCAACACACTTTATTTTCCTTCTGTCTCCCTTTGTAAGAGGCTTTTTTGGAGTTGTTCCACTGAAGGAATAAACTAACTGCAGGGCAGATGCATTCCATGTCTTGGGCAGTATCTAAGGTGCTGTGCAAGGAATTTTCCTGCAGGGTGTTGAATTGAAAGCGAAGAAGATGAGCAAAGAAGACTTTACTTTTGATCTAAGCCCTTTATAATGTGTGAAATGCTGTTTCAGTGAAAACAAAAGGATTGCACTGGTAGCTATGAAGACTGAATGAACAAGTGGCTTCTGAAGTGTAAAGCTTATCACACAGATTCCAGTAGGCCCTTTCCATTACCTGGAACTGTGGGTGTTTTAGATAAGATTTTTGCTGCCTAAGATGAGGAGAGGTTTTTGGGGGAGTGGAGGGTGGGAGAGCACTGTCATATCCAGTGTGGCACAAACTAAATTCTGTAGTTTTGATCCTCATTTCTACTATTGCCAAGAGATTTCTGCTTTTACAGAATTTTGAAATTTACCATCAAATTAAGCTTTTGGCAGTGACTGGTACATCTTCTTTTTCCTTCAGTATAAGAAGCATCGCTCTTCTCATGCACATACCAACAACTTTGCAAAATCTGTGGTCAACCTTGTGGATTCTGTAAGTAAGCTTTTCTTCAACCAATTTTTTTACCAAGATGGCATGGTTTATATCTCTAGCTCTGTTTGCTCACTTGTTTCTCTCACTATTTCTGACATAAAAGTAAAAATGCAGTGCTTCAGTTCTTCTAAGAAATTATAGGATAGTTGGTTTTAGAGATAGTAATATTCTCAGAGTTTAAAGGCACTGTTGAGTTATTCTTAGGATTCTGAAGATTCATTGGCATTGCTTCTTTCTTTTACATTTATATTTGTTAATTACAATTTTAATTGTAAATATTATGGGAGGCAGTGTGATAATTTGATACCTGTGTACAATGTATAATGGTCAGATCAAGGTAATTGGCATTTACATCTTCTTAAACATTTAAAAATTTTTATTAACACTGATAATATAACATTGCTTCTAGACAACCTGTAGACTGTTTTGTTACCAGAGCCCATTGGGGGACAGAGAATAATGGAGAAAATTAGCTTCCAAAAATAGTGAAAGTTATATTTAATAAATAATGCTTTGCTAAAAATAGTTTAGCTTTTCTTAAAAACCGAGTGTTGGTAGAAAAGTACTAATAGATTGAGGTAGTCTATGGAGAATATAGATGAAAAACCTCTTTAAAGAACACAGATTTATTATCTTAGTGTTCCCATAGGGGGATGTTTGAGACTTTATTTCTAGAATGGTAGAGTCTCCAAACAATACTAATATGAAACCGTAAAAGATGTAGCTCCTCCAAAGTCTGACTGCAGATCTTTACTATTGATATACTTTTTCCTGTTTTCATTTTATGAGTTACAAAGAATGATTGTTAAGATTTCCTTCCTTTCTCCTGCCTTAGGTAGGAACATCATAGATATGAATATTATATATTATGTTTCAATAAGTAATTCATAAATAATTATTCAATATTTGTTATTTAATTGACAAATTAAATCCTGCATACTACTTTATATTTTCTAATGTAAAGTGCTATTTTATTCAGCTGAATGCATTTTTATCTGGTATCTATTGAATGTTACCGCTTAACTGAAAAAAACCCATTTTAAAACTTGCCAAACACCTAAACGGCATTTATTTACTCCAAGGAGCTGCTTTCTTTTCTGCATTTTAAACAGCCCCAAAGCACCAGTCATGTAAATATTCATAACATGTTTTGTTCACTGGCATATGTTATGTGCCTGGTACGCACAGCTGAGCAAAATTATAATATAAGTAGATGTGCATAGAATATTTAATAGGAAGTTAAGATTGAACCTATGAGAGCCAATTTACATCTGGTTTTATTATTTTTTTCCTTAATTTCAGCTCTTGTCAATCTTAAAGGAAAGCAATGAAGCAGTATAAAAAAAAGAGAACCTTAAACATATCTTTTCTTCAAGAGCTGTTTACTTGCTAGCACCTCTGTGTTAATCATTTCAGCATGGCTGAATAGAAGCACATCTTACAAAGTTTAATTTTTGTTTTGTGTTATCATATAAGGTTCCAAAGCTGACTACCGATTTTTAAAAGACATTACACTTAACTCATTTTTGTGTAGAGTCATTATAGCTTCAGTTTGACCTAAGGATGCTGAGAGTCCCTTTTTCCAGCGTGTTTAAAGATTACTCATTGTTTTCTTAATTGGTTTGAAAATAGGACAGGAGAACAGCACTCATTGAAATTGCTTAATTGTGTGAATAAATTAGTTACTGGCCCCAAAGTAGAGAAGAGCAGAAGGGTAACGGTGTAAATGCTGTGAGTGACGCCACCCTGTGGGCAGGCGAGGTGGGTGATAGAAACCTGCGCTTTTCCTCCTCTGACCTTAGGTTCATGATTGTCTGTCTGTGTTATTTTGTTCTTCATGTATCATGGCTCCAAAAACAAGGCAGTCACATTGTCTGGTGGCTCCAAAAACAAGGCAGTCACATTGTCTGGTGAACTGCTCCAAAAACAAGGCAGTCACATTGTCTGGTGAACTGCTCCAGTCCTGCAGGAATAACTGGTTGTGTTACTCTTAGAGTCAGTATAGTTGACTCCAACCTGTTACCTCACGTGAGGTGTAGAAAGATAACTTCACTGAATCCTTTTCACTTTGTGTTCTGTCTTGATCTTGACTTCCTTACATCCCTACTATCTATCTACCTTTTTAAGATGCTGGGCTACAAAAGATGCTGGCCTGGGGTGGAAATAACCTTACAAGAGAATATTTAACATGAGACTGAATTGTGTACTTGTTCTTTCTTTTTTACTTATGCTCTTGGAAAAGAGAAAAGAGAAGAGAATTCTCTCTGATGAGCTAATTCTGATCCCGTGTTCTCTCACCTCCCCTTCCTGTCCTTCCACTGACTCTGACTCACTGATCGTGCATGTTTGACCCAGTGTTTTCCTCCTGCACCTGTCCTGTTGTCTACCCTCAGATTTACAAGGAGCAGCTCAATACCAGGGTTGTCCTCGTAGCTGTGGAGACCTGGACTGAGAAGGATCATATTGATATCTCCACCAACCCTGTGCAGATGCTCCACGAGTTCTCCAAATACCGGCAGCGCATCAAGCAGCACACTGATGCTGTGCATCTTATCTCGTATGTACCTGTTTAGGTTTTTACTGTAGCCTCCGCTTTGGTATTTGTCTCTATCCCCATACTGTATTAATTAAGTGACATACCAGAAAACAGTGACTTCAGCAAGATCACCATGGATGCCCCTCTGCATGTGTAAGAAGCATGAAACTGGATTCCAGTGCTGGGGTCGTGGTGGTGCTATGGCCACAAGCTCCACCTTTAAAGCATGGAACTCCGTGTTCAAAGTCACCTCATAGTCTGGGATGCCTGTGTCCTAACCTTCATTATAGGCAGGGGAGGAGCTAAAGGGCAGTCCTTCTAGCTTTGCCCACTTTGATAAAGCAGATTTCCTGAAAGCCTGCACATATCCATTTTACCACCAAATCATTTGTTAGAGCTCAGTCACATGACCACACTTAGCTGCAAGAGTGGCTGGGAACTGTAGTCTTTCCAAATGGACCATTGAATCCAGTTGAGTTTCCATCACCTAGGAAAGGGGTGTACTATGGTTTCTTTTTGCTGTTATAAGCTGTTCTCTTCCCTACTTACAGCAAAACTACTTTCAAACACCCCTCTAAACTACACCAATTCAAGTACCCCTTCCTCCTTTCTACTTTACCCTTTATTTTCTTTACTCTGATTTTAGTTATCAATTTATAATAATTAGCAATATTTTCTATAATTACAAAGTAGTCTCTAGTAGAAACAGGGCTTTGGTCTGTTTATCTTTCTGTACTTGATCCCTGTGTCAGAGTACGGGGCTTCCTTGTTCTCAGTTAGTGCTTGCTCATCTGAGGTCAACACATGAACTTAAAGGTATTTTTACAACATAAATTTAAATGTGCGTAAAATACAGTTTTTGATTTTCTAGGGAAGGATGATTTGGGACCTATCAGTGGAGGACAGTGGGTGTGTTTTGGGAGGGTTTATATAGTGCTCACTACATTGGGTTTTCTTATAGCACTTTCTTTTCTTAAGGCGTGTGACATTCCACTATAAGAGAAGCAGCCTGAGTTACTTTGGAGGTGTCTGTTCTCGCACAAGAGGGGTTGGTGTGAATGAGGTAAATTTTATCAATTTTCTTTAAGTAGAGCTTTATCTGTGCAGCTGATCTCCTTCTTCCTTATGACCCAATTTACATGCTTCTCATGCTTGCTTTGAATGAGGACACCGAGAATGTTGCTTGAGGGGCTTACATTAGTAAAGAGAAGCCAGAGAGGTCCTTTGGGCTTCTGGTAGTATCTTTGGTTCTGGTAATGATAGTTTTACATATTTATCAAGTTAATGCAAGCCAGAAATCGGCCCATAGATTTTATGACTCTATAACATCTTTTAACAAAGATGTTAAATTTTTATGTTTATTAATCCTTCCCTTAAATGGATTTTTAAAGTTGCAGTGTTCTTCTACATGTTAGATTTACTTCATTTAAATAAAAAAAATTCATGATATTCATGTTTTTTCTCCCTATATCCATCTCTTTCATTTTAAGGCTTCTACTTGCCTGTAGAATGTGTCATAACAAACATTTCTTAATCATTTTTTGATTTTTTATGAATTTATATTTCTGAAGAAAATTTTTAGTTAACAAGAGCTCCTAAAATCACCAAGCAGCTCTATTTGAATCCTGGTTCCTCCTGGAACTTGCTGTATCCTAGTAGCCATCGTTTGGTGGGACCCCTTGATGTATTTATAGTAAGTTGAACTTCCTACTGTGGTATAAATTGAACTGGAGCACAGCCTTCTGTGACTTGTATTTTGTGTTTCTGTGTGAGGGCTTCAGGGCCTGAAAGGTACCACAGGAGAACAGGGGCTTTCGTTTCTTGGGCTCAGTTGGGAGGGAAAAGTGACAAGGAGCAGATGGCATCTCTAGACGTTGTGAGGCTCTGCTTAGGGAACTGAGCTGATAGGTGGTGACAACTAAGAAATAATAACTAGCTTTGTGCACTCTCTCAAATGTTTCCCACACACTTTCAACTCTGAAAAACAGTATGGTCTTCCAATGGCAGTGGCACAAGTATTATCGCAAAGCCTGGCTCAAAACCTTGGAATCCAATGGGAACCATCTAGCAGGAAGCCAAGTATGTACAATAACCTTCTGACTTTGTGTGCCATTCTGTCTGTGTAATGCATGTCCTAAGTCATTATAGTTTGATTTTATAATCCTTCCCCTAAACGATTTATAAAATGAGAAACTTGAAATACTTCTTGAAATACTTCTATTTGGGTTGAAGAAATTTTCCTTTTGAAATCCATGAAGTCACACCCAGTTTCTGAGGCTGTGAGTTAGCTCTTTCTCACACAGCAGACTGTTGGGGTCAATAACGCCCCCATGGGTTCTAGGCAGTTGAGAGTAGACACAAGATACTAGATGTGACTCCATACAAGTTTAGTAATAATACAGATGGACTGGGAAATAGTTAGGTCTAGAGTCAAGAAGTGCATATTTATACTCTAAAGTTACCTACTGAGTTGCCAAAAAAGCTAAAGTAGGTCCCCCTAGACCAGTGATGGTCAACCTTTTAGAGCTTTCAATGATAACCAGTACCTGCTGTGGCCCAAGAGCCTTAGGTTTGCCACCACTGTCTGGACTGAGCTACCCTCGTGCCTTTTAAATGTGGGGAGGCTGGCCAAGGAGAGAATTCTCCTGTGGTGCATGAACATGTCCAAGAGGAAGTCCCGACAAGAGTGCAATTTATTCAGTGGGCAAAGTGCCTATGACTCACCGTAGTTTTAGAGGCCCATGAAAATTTCTAATTTCTTTTAAAATTAGAAAAGAGTACAACCTGAATTATATTCCTCTTTATGGCAACACAGTAGCAAAATATAATTTTTAATATGTTTCTGTAGCAGAAGGCAAAAATATCTCAGGTCCACAAATGTCATAATGTGATCTTTAGAAAAGAGAAGACACAGTGACTCATGTTTGCTCATATTATGTGCTAAACTAGAAGTTAAGTCTCTTCCTCTCTGTGTAAATATGAGACATGAGGAGTAAAGGTTCCTCGGATCACCCCAGCCTCCTCAGAGAAGAAAAGGGAAGGCTACTTTAGGGTTATTCTACATGTTAGATTTTTGGGGTCCTTAATACATAATTACAGAAATAAAACAAAATGTACAACCATGGGCTTCTTGATTCCTTCTGTGGGTTTTAAGTGATCAAGCACAGAGTCATCACAAGTGTCTCGAGGCATCTTGCAATGCTCCACTAACTTACAGTCACTAATGTCTTCTCAGAGTGTTTGCTTTCCCAAGGAAATACCTGTTCCATATTGTAGGGGGTGCACACAGTTTTGTCAGGTGGCATAGATACCTTCAAATCAGGAAGTGTTGTCACCAGATTTATAACCTTGTTTGACAGTCCTGGAGGGCAGTGCTTACTTTACTGAGTTGGCTGGAAGAGTATTGTGAGAAGCTGAGTTCATAGCTAATGACTCCCGTAGTTTCTTCCTGTCTATGATTCTCTATTCCTTTGTGAATTGTTTAGCTAGCTATTTCATTACCTCCAAAATCTGAGTTTTTAAAGAACCACTTACAAGTGGTTCTTTAAAAACATCTTTATCTATGATAGAGAAGAGAATAGGAAAAAAAATAAATGAAAAGAGAGCCCATCACAGTATCATTACGTCAGTCTCTGGTAGCTACATTAAGTTTATAATTTCTACCTAGGTTATTAGATACATTTCTACTTTGGATTTCTCTCTTTTATGAGACCTTTTAGCATAGTGTTCTTCAGGTCTCTGGCTGGGGCTGCCTTTGACTCTAGGGAGTTCAGTTCTCTTTTCTTTTGATTTGTTCTGTTAGAAGGACTTCGGTGATAATTGGTGGGATTCGTAGTGAGCACAGAAGTGCGTCGTGTGAGTGAACCCCAGGGCCATACTACAAGATGAGCAGAGAGGCCTTGTTCCCATTTACAGGTGGACACTGCAGACTCAAGAGGCTCCACATCACTTGTCTGTAGGAGTCTCTCCTATGGTAGAACTTAGACTGGCCCTGGGGCCTTGCAAGCTCTAGCCCAGCGTTCTTCTCACCAAATGTTGGAAGGAGGAACCTCACTGAGTTGTCTGCATTATAATGCTTTTCCTTGATGCCAGCTGTTTTCTTAGGTACAACTTATACTTCTGGAAAGGATAAGGAAGTATTCATTTAAATGAAATGTATTTTGCTCTGTGAGGTTTCACTTTCTGTACCTATTTGACCTGGAATTGATAAGAAAGCACTTATCATGGGAACTGTGTTGTAAATTAAATATGTGACTTTTATTGCTCCCTTTCTCCTCTGCTGCCTTTATGGTTTCCTTGGACTAGAATGTGACTGCACAGAGTCCTGGGGTGGCTGCATCATGGAGGAAACGGGGTATGTTTTGTTACGCATGCACTTGATAATGCCTTTTGCCAAAATTGCCACATATAACTAGAGACACAGTTTCTTGAGCACCGGTATTTTAGGCTAAGGACTTAATATAAATTCAATAATTAATTCTCTGATATTTTTAAACTGACGGGACTAATTTGCTGTATATTTTGTTGTTTTTTTACTTAAGGTTAATGATCAGTGTATTAGCTACTAAAATGTATTAGCTACTTCTTCTTAGCCCTTAAAAGCAGTGTATTACTAAATGCTTCTAAGTTTAGGAAAGGCATTAATTTTTTAGCATACTCAGAATTTAAAAGTTATCTGCCTACCTGAAGCAGTAAGTGAAAATCAATTTAGTCATCAATTTACATTCTAAGGAACTTGTAAATATATGTCTTTACAGTAATAAAATTTGTGCTGTGCTTCTTATAGAATTCATAAAGCTTTTTTTATAAGTCAGATTTATTGTGTCTGCATTAATCTTTTAGTACTAGGCACTTAACCATTCACTCACCAGCTGAACTGAGGCCTGGCAATGCTGCACTTTCCCAGGGACCCCTGTTCCATGCAAGCCGCTGTTCCAGGCCTTCTAACTATAGCTACTCCTAGCAGATGGGACAGGTTTCCTTACCCAGGTGCCTCTCCTGCTCCTTTGGCCTGTGCTATTTGGTAGAAATTGCCATAAATATTTTGAACTGATTGAGGTCATGAAGGCAGCCTTAGAAAGACACTCTTGAAAGGGACTTGAGCACTGCTTCAGGAAGGGGCAGGGACAATGGAATAGGTATATTTGAATCATGGAGGAATATTTTGAGGGCCATCATGACAATGTGACTTTTACTCTAATAAATTTGTAAATTTTTGTTTAAACAGTTGTTGTGTGGTTTGATTATATCTCATATGTGTGTATGTATAATCTAACACATTTCTTCAGGGTTTCCTTATCTACCTGAATTGCATTGTCAAAGCCTGATGACAAGTCCGTAAGAAATCAGTCCTTCCAACAAAATCCTCCAGAGTCAAATCTAGTAGGCTCATGAGTTCCTTTTATCAGGACAGAGTAAAAAAGTGCTGCTCTTTACTGAGACATAACAAATAAAAAAGATTACATTTTAAAATACAACCTAGATGAAGACATTTTATATTGAACTTAAAAAAAAAAAAACCAACTATTTTATGCAAGGTCATAAGAGGAATTGTCCACTTAAGAGGATGTAACCTAGCCCCTAATTCTGTGATTTTTTTTGTATTTCTATTTTTATAAATTCCAAGAAACAACTTGCTTAGCAATTGGATATAAGGAAATTGTCAAAATTTGTATAGATGCCTCTGATCCAAATGAATATTTTGTTCTGATTCAGGAGTTTTAATTTTCCTCTCTGATGACTGCTTTTAGTAAATTATTTACATAATAAATTCATTGTTTTTTCAGGGTTTCTCATTCCCGAAAATTCTCAAAGTGCAGCATTTTGGAATACAGAGACTTCTTACAGAGAGGAGGCGGAGCCTGCCTTTTCAACAGACCAACAAAGGTTAGTAACTTAGAACATGTAGCTTTTTCTTCAGTGTATCACAGTGGAATAGTACTAAATATCAGATCCTTGCTCCAGAAAGCAGATTACTTGTCAGTCAGATTACTATTTAATTATGGAAGCCCTGGTCATGTTGAAGATTGAGTCCTCTTTAAGTGAATCATCAAATTTTAAATTAGTATCCAGTTCAGTGCTAGCTGTATTCCCAAACCCTCCTCAAAGCAAAACATCCTTCAGGTTTAATACCTTTGAAAATTCCCTGCTAGAGTGTTTTTGCTTTGCTTCAAAGAGGTAATGGGTTAGATTAAGATAAAATATTACTTTAACTCATTTATCTGGTAAAAATTTGATTTCTCCTTGATACTCTTTCTAGGGACCCAATTACTATTTTCTCCTCCTTCCTCTCCCATCTTCCTCCTCTTTTCCCTCCTCCTCCTCCTTTTTTTTTGTGGGTGGTGGTAGTGGTGATCTCCCAGGTAGAAAGTGTCGCTAGTATTACCCAGCCATAAAATGAGCCCAGGTATTTATGGATCCCATAAATTTCCTTTAACATACTACTTCATAAGTCAAATATAGTTCATTGCTTACAAAATGCTTAATATTCTGCAAATTGAGAGAGCAGTGGATTCATGTTAACCTTTTCTAAAAAAAATCAGTGACTAATGTGAATAACTGACAGAATAATTTATTCCCTACTCCTCATTAAGCGATACTGCTGGTGTCAGGAGACGATAGCTTGATGGCTGACACTGGTATAAAATCTCAGTAAAGCTGTGGAAAAAGAAGTAGGACTTTGAAAGTGACCTTTCGTTATGAAAGTAGGCTGCACGCCTTGCCTGGCATTGATCTAAGTGCATGGAAGTCTGAAAGCTTCAAAGCATTTGAAATGGGTGAAATCAGTAATAAAGAACTAATGTGAGCTGATGGCATTTTTGAGGTGCAATGTACATGTCTAATTTTACCTAGCTTGCAGTGTACCACCTAATTATGAGCATCACGGTCAACAAAAAGCACTGAGTTATTTGGAAAGGTTAAAGTTTTTAGTATATGCATAATGCTTCATCATTGAATTTCTCAAATTGCCTGTGAGTAGGAAGAAAATTGTGCCCAAAACATGGAGCCTATATCAAAATAACTTCTAGGCAACTTCATTTTTGAAAGTTAGTAAATATAAAATTATTTCTCTTTTCAAACTACAAATTGCAATGGTTAAGAGAAGAGCTGTATGGTTTTCAGTAGACTAGTTCATATGCATATGTCAAAGAATAGACAAGCGTGTTTAGTCAATGAATGTGTGTATATGTGTGTGTTATGCTCACAGGATCTATGTGGGTACTCTGTGCTTTGAGAATCTTCCCAACTGCAGTGTTTTCTGTCTAGTTTGTGATCCTGCCCATCAGGATGGAGACAGCTCTAAGAGTGGAGGATGGGAAGGCCTGATATGAAGCGCTCCTCATGTTCTGCCTGGCCTTTCCCAGTTCTGTTTTCTCCTACCTGCTGATCCAAATTCTGTAGTGATTACGGTTGTCAGTTTCACTCAGTGGACTTCCCACAGAGGAGTCCCACCCAGCAAGCCTGGAAACTCTGCTTGCTTCTTACAGTACCTTCCTGGAAGTAGCAGGAGGATCAGGTCTTCCCTGGGTGGACTCAGTGGAAGGTAAACTTTCCTCAGGCTATGTGTAGCGTCAGGGGTAGAGTTTCTTTCTCCCCCTGATAGGCATGCCTCTGGGCATTTGTGTGGAGATGTGCTGCCCCAGTCTTCACCCTGGGATGATGATCATGCCCCGAGAATCCCTGCCTTGGAGGATGGCAAATAGGTATTTTCTTATAATCAATCAACTGCTACGACAGCTGGTCTGTAGAACATTTACCTGGAAGCAAGTTCATAGCATTAGTAGGGTGGATTGTGGTAGGAGTTTGACATTTCCACCAATCCATCAATGATTGAGAGGTTTCTGTATACTCATGCACATGTCTATATGTTTACTTAATATGCTTCAGAAAATGCAGATTTCTTTTCAGTGGGAGTAATGGGCTTGGATCTCTAGTAACATTGTTATCTAAGTTTATTTCCACTTACTTGATTAGATATATCATATTTTGCTGTGACCAAAGCACAGTCATCTTTTTGGACATTTTTTATGTCTTTTCAGCTGCTTTCAGTCAAGTCAGCAAATTAGATATCTATAAGTCTTATTAGCAATGCATTTTAGTTCCATTAGCAAATATGAAAAGTGATCTAATCCTCTTGACAGCTTGTCTCCATAAAAAGTAACTCTAATGCTAGAAATTGTCCCTGGAGCCAACCATCAATGAAACCCCCAAGAGATATCACCCCCTTTCAAATATGTTTTTGGAAGTGTTATTAATAAGTGAACAATATTTCCCACACAGACATTTTGTATGAGATACTACGATAAAAGCTCACAAGAGAATATCACATGACAGATAGCTGATTATAGGGCCATGTATGTGGCCCAGTTGACTGTTGATTTTTTGTGGTAAAACATCTTTCTTCTGCGTCCCTTATCTCTTTCAGCTGTTTGAACCCACAGAATGTGGAAATGGATATGTGGAGCCTGGGGAGGAATGCGATTGTGGTTTCCATGTGGTACGTACAAAAGGCTTCCTCTACCTTCAGTAAACCCTTTCTCAGAAGCAACAAGGGTAGCAAAGGTGAGAGGCCCATGATATTTTTCACTGTGGTCTCGCTGCCTTTCTTTCTCATCTCTCTGATTATTATTATTCTTATTATTATGAGCTTCAGGCCAGCTCAGACAAGTTAGAATTAGTCATGTCTTTACAGCTTTGTCTGAAGAAGCCTGTTGGATTGTTCCAGTCAGATTCTCTCCCTCTTAAAAATTTTTAGCTCATACTCATCTCAGATAAGTTTTACAAAATCATGAAACATTTTTTTCCATGTTGTGCATTATCTTTGCCTCCTTTAAACTGGGTACTAAGGACATAGTACAGTTAACAGGGTTGGGAGGGCCTGTTAAGAAATAAGCCTGCTCTCTGATAGAGATGCCCTTCCCAGATCATACTCTTTTGAGGAATATGGCACAAAAGAGTCTGTGATTTCTTACAGTGACTAATTCTGTCCTAAAATATTTGCTTACTATATAAGTGTACTCATTTAGATTATGCATAAGTCGCATGTGCAGAGTATGCTAGATGAACAGTGGGTAAGGTTCCCGGCTTATTCTCATGCAATTTTTTCTCTAGGAATGCTATGGATTATGCTGTAAGAAATGCTCTCTCTCCAATGGGGCCCACTGCAGTGATGGGCCTTGCTGTAACAATACCTCATGCCTTGTGAGTTCCCTGACATTTTTCATCTTTCTTTTAGTTGATGGATTAGTCAAATATCTCAGTATGCATATTGAGCGTTTGTGTAGCTTGTCAGAATTTTATGCTTATTGGCCTGGTAATTTTGCAGAATCAGTAACTCCACCCGAGTTCTGTGGGTCACATTTACCTTTTCTGTTATTCACTGCCCGTTGCCTTATTCCACATGCCTCCTTAAGAAGATATACCATATGGATTCCAAAATAAATGCTGAGAATTGCTCTCAACACAGAATCAAGTTAAATTGTTGAAGAGGAACAATTTTTTATGTTTTTTTTTTTTAACAATATGACCTGCTTTTAACATTTTTCTTCAAAATTTATTCTAGACCAGAGCATAAAAGCATAAAAGCTAGTGCCCATATTTTCCCACTTGGCTCTTTGAATCCTCCATGAGGTCAGGAAAGCTAGATAAGGATGTAATTATGCATGCTCTTACACACACAGTCTGTGTGTATGTGTGGACACAGCCTTCCAGCTTCAGTGACCTCCAGTTAGTTTTTTTTTTTTTTTTTGCTACAAATAGAAATGTTTAATTTGAACCCAAGTCAAACAAATCATACAATATTTTATACTTATTAATTCAGAAAGCCATTTTTAATGTTTTTCTCATATAGAAGACCTGTGATAATCCTTACAATCATAAAATTACATAATTTTATTATTTTTTCTATTCCAAGGGATATTACACATTAAGGGATATTCGAAAAGATTCCAGCATAGTTTGTTGTTGCTCTTGTCCTCTAGCAGATTATGAGTTGCTTGAGGCTTTTATCATTTATCCATCCCCTCCCTAGACAAGCAAAATGTTTTGCATATCATAGGCAGTCACTGACATCACTGTCGGTAGGTGATTTATATGAATTCATTGTCATTTTATTGTATCTTTTTAGCTAAGGCAAGGTTAATATTTATGCTAATGGATAGTGAAGGTTGTGTATGTATATCAGTTCTTCAGAGAGCTCTTAAATGCTTACCTTGTAGTGTTTTGCTTCTTTGTCTTACACCAAACCACTGTTGTTGTTTTTTTTTTTTTGGTTTTTTGGTTTTTCTCCGGTACCAGAAACCGAACTCATGACCTTGCACTTGCCAGGCAGGCGCTTTGCCGCTGAGCTAAATCCCCAGCCCCCACCAAACCACTGTTTCTTCTTTACCTAATTCCCATCACGTTAGAATTATTTTAACATAATAGTCAGAGACGGTGGGTTTTGAAACCTGACACTTAATACCTTGACTGACAATTCATCTTTAGTTTGGAAGGTAGCAGCTGGGCCCTGTTTCTATTCTGCACCTCTTTCACTAACTTATGAAAGGGTTTGGTGATACTTATGAGAAAGTATAGGGATTGCTGGGGAACATAAGCATCATAACTTTCTAAAATATTAATTCATACTACCTCCTAATACTGAGTTTTGATTTGCAGTTTCAGCCACGAGGGTATGAATGTCGGGACGCTGTGAACACGTGTGATATTACTGAATATTGTACTGGAGACTCTGGCCAGGTATGGCAAACTGTGCTTTAGGTAACACATTGTACACATTTTAAAGCTTTCAGTGTAGACCAGGTGTGTGAACACGCTTTGCTTTCTTTTTTGTTTTCTAGTTGTGTCTACCTCTTGACATTTGACATTCTTTTATTTAAAAAAAATTTGGTATATTGTTTTTGGACCTATATCCCTTTTTATCCCCTTCATAACCAGTTCCCTTTAAAAAAAGAAAAAAATATATATATATGTTAGTGGTACATGCGTGCAGTACATAATGATTACATTCATCACGGGGCTGTGTGTATGTACATAACACGTCTTGATTCTTTTTTGTTGTTATTGTTCCCATGCCCTCCTTCCCTCCAACCCTTCTTCCTTTTTGGTTATATGATTTATATCTAGCTAATTGATTCTTTCCTTGGCCCCGACATATTAAATAGTACATTCACATTAATGGAGCACGAGTGAACTGTTTTCAAACATTTTAAAGCTGCAAACCCTCTCTTTTACCAAATTGTGAGGGGAGCCCAATGCAGAAAACAAAGAGCAAGCAACACTGCGCTGGCTAAAGTAGGACTGGAAACGGGGCCCCACCCTTGTTTTCTGTGCTGCCTCTGTCCCTGCACATAGTGCTAGCTTTGTGGCCTCTGCACTTTGACTTCATTTTCGTCCATTAAAATTGCTGTAATGTTTTAATTAGTGTTGCCTTCTGGAACTCCTTCTTCATGTAATTTTTATGTCCTTTATTTATATCATATTAAGTATTTGTTATTCAAATAAACATTTGTGGGGTTGTGTGTCAAACACTGCTGTAAATGCCAGGGTACAAATGGGAGGGAACGAGATTTATAAGGTTGCTTTTATGGAGCTTACATTCTGTCTAGTTCAGCAAGGCAAATAAATAAACAAACTATGAGATGGCATCAGATAAGGGCATGTGAAAAGAGGCACAGGTGAGGGCATTCTGTGCATCTTCCTGAAGGAGGTGGTGTCTTAACTAGAGACACAAGAGGGTACTTTCAGGAAAAAAGGTTCAAAAAGGATTTCAGGAAATCAGGGCAGGTTGGGACTTGCAGGCCATGGTAGGGATTATGAATTTCATTCTACCTTCATTTACATTTTGAGGTTACTTTAAAAGCATTTCCCTGAGGGTTGCTTAGTATGCTTGAGGCCCTAATTCAATCCCCAGCAAGGGGGAGGGGGGAGGAATGCATTTTCGTGTACAATTATACAGTTTTTATAAATATCCTTTTCTTGATCCTATGAGAATCTGTCATGTGACTTTTTTTTTTCCCATACCGGGAATCGAACTCACGACCTTGCACTTGCCAGGCAGGTGCTGTGCCGCTGAGCTAAATCCCCAGCTCCTGTCATGTGGATTTATTAGTTGATATATATATCTAGTGGTGGATATTTAGACTTTGACAGTCTTTAATTATTAGTATGAAAGTGAGTATCTTTGTGCATTTTGATAAATGTTTCTTATTCAGTAACCTTACTCCTTAAATATATAAACAAGTTTCTTTGCAATTTTTCTATAATATAATGATGGAGTATAAGAATTGTGGGTTTTACCTTTTATGACAAGTGTGCTGACAATCCTGACATACTTATTTCACTGAGTTATATTTTTAGTTTTGTAGACTAATACTATTTTTATAACCAACATGCAGTGTTTTAATTCTCTGTCCTTTCAGCAGTTTGTTTGTTTTACTTTAGTCTTTGACTCCTGAATTGCCTTGGAATTTATGAGAAATAAACCTCTTATAATGGAGGCACCTTGTTCATTCTATTTTATGGTCAAAGAAAAATATATTTTTCTTTTTTTTTTTTTTTATATATATTTTTCTTTTTATCTCATGTGTCTAAGGTGAGAATTATACTGCTAATTTCTTAGTGGCATATTAGCATAGAATTTTCACTTACAAATAATTTTCAAAGATGATCAGAATGAACCCAAAATAAATAATTGCAATAAATCTTCCAAAATTTTCTAAATATTCTGTAAGAGACAATGAACTTTGAATGCAGTTAGTGCTAATAATTTTTACGAATATAGAATCTCTAAGAATCTGTGTCTCTAGGCAGTACTTTGACCTCATCTTTTACTGTGTGATTTTGCTTATTAGCGTTCACTGATGTCCCTGAGCCACTTAAATTCATGTTGTATGGCAGAATAAACAGTACTTGTGCAACCGAGTGAAACCTTTGGCAAAAAATATAGGGTGATATGACAAATATATTTGAAAATGTGGGAAATGGTTTTTGTTAGTGCTGGGAAATAAGTCATTCAAGTGGGTAATATAGTATAATTAAGTGCTCCTGCTCTATTGAAGCCTGACTCAAAAGTAGGGATGGAATGACACATACAGACAGAATCTAGAGCTCTCTTTAAAGGCAGAACAAAATACTTAAATTTATGGTTCTTCTGTTTTAAAAGTCTGGAGACTGTACAAAGCACCCAAAGTTAATAAATGTTTTGGTGATAAATAAATAACTTTTTTTTAGCCTAAACCAAAAACAAATTGACTAGGAATCTTATCACACAAAAGCTTTTTTTGATCGGTGAAGAATTCTACAAGCTTTTTCCTTCTTGAAACATTATGAAAGTGAATGTGACACATTAATTTTAGACTCTGAAGTGTCTTTCTAGTGGCAACATTTGGTTTGCGTTCCTGTTCACTGTGGTTGCATTAGTTTTAGAGTAAGTGGATAATGAATGATAGCTGATTAATGAGATAATGACTGTGTTCTGAGCGAATGTGTACAGATGAAAAACGCTGCAAGGATCTCTGCAGTTGTGCAGTTGGCCCAGTATTTTACGTTTCAGTGCCAATGAGTGCATCCTTGGAATAGCCACAAAAAGGTTCCGTGAAAAGCTATGGTGAATGGAGCTTGTATGAGAGTCAGTGATTCTTTAGAATGACACAGAACTCCAAAACATTTTGTCTTGCAGTGGTCTCTCGTAGGATACTGCTCCTTAGGAATGGTAAACTAGTTCCATTGCCTTTCTGTGATGAACTTTATGAACTGCCTGATATATGCAGGATCGAATAAGTTAATTGCAGTTATGGGTGGTACACTTATTCTCTTAGCCAGCCAATGGTAAGTGAGTGGCTGCCACATGCCTGGTATTGTTTTGGGTGCCAGGAAGGCAGCAGGGAACAAAACACAGTCCTGCCTGTATGGAGCTCACATGAAGGTCGAAACAACAGTAAACAAATAAGTGAAATGTATAAATTGTCACTTGCTAAGAAGAAGAAATAAAGTAGGGAACAGAGAATGCAAGGAAAGGAGGGATCTGTGGTTTTAAAGAGCATAATTAGAGAAGGCCTCTTTGAGGTGATGAGATTTCCACAAAGCTGCCAAAGAGAGGATGGAGCGAAGCAAGCAAAAATCTTGGGTGAGAATGAAGGAACAGCAAAGGCCAAGTCTGTGGGCTGGCTGCAGGCCTGGCAGTCATGAAGAGTGACATCAGTCATGTGAGAGGGGCAGAAAATGAGATCAGAGAGATGACAGGGCTGGGTGGAGAGGGGCAGATGCCCGGGAAGGACAATTAGAGGCCAGTGAGCAAGTTGGGAAGTCATTGGAAGGTTCTGAGTGGAGAAGCATCATGAACTGCTATTGATGTTTCTTAGAGGATTACTCCAGTGATACTCTGGACCAAGATGAGACGAGCGGGCTAGCAGAAGCTCCTGGAATCCAGGTAGAAATGGCAGCAGCCTGGACAGGGGGTTAACAGTGGAGATGGAGAAGGGTGGTCAGATTTGGGATGTTTAGAAGCTACAAGGATTTGTTGACAGATTGGATGGGTAGTGTGAAAGAATAGGGGCTGACAGTGTGGGCTTTGGCCTGAAAAATGGAAGTATGCAAGGATGAAGGCCATCTACTGAGGAGGTGAAGAATGATAGAGAGTCCAGGTACATATTTATTTCTGTTTCTCATTGACTTGCCACACCTGTGTACATTTTCTCCTCTTGCGTTTTGAACACTATAGCAGGAGCCTTTGCGCTGACTTTGTGTCAGTTCTCTTACATGTGCAGAAAGTTTAATTTCACTTATTCAGAGTAACTTTTGGGAAAAAATGAAGTATATTTTTAAAATTAATTTAATGAAAGGGGAGGAAGAGGAAAGGACAAAAGGGTGACAGGGGCACGTAAAAATGATCCAAGTATGTTATATGCATGTACGCATTTGACAAAATTAAACCCATTGATCTGAATAACTAATGTGCACTAATAAAATATATAAGAAATGATTTGGTAAGTGGACCTGTAAAAAGAAATAATCACACCACAGACTGTTCTAGTAGCAAGTCTACTTTGAAGGAGCAAAAACGTCAGGGCTATTATGGCAATTACATTGAGTTGAAAGGCTGAGTGTTTCTTCTGTTTCAGAAAAGCAGCCCGTGGGTGAATGTCATGACGTTAAATGCAGATTTGACATTTTCATGGAGCTTAGCAAGGTCTTGTAAAGTGATTGCTGAATAGGTCCACTCCCACATAACAAGCTAATTCATTTCCTTCACTGTCCATTTTAATCTCTTCTACTTTGATCTCTGTAGGCAAGTGAATATAATTTGTTATTCTAATTCATCTCATGGCAAATAAAAAATATAAGCATACTCTGCATGGTCCTAATTTTCTTATTTATTTATTTATTTAATTTCTATCAGTGATAGAATTCACTTGGAAAACTTACTTAAGGTGTTTATGTGTGTTGTTTAAATGCTTCTAATTGTCTATTTTACCATGCTCACACTTTCGCTCGTTTTTATATTTTGAGCACATTATTTGGAGGTCCTGGACACACTGTACATTAACTGAAAACATAATATTTTTCAGTGCCCACCAAACCTTCATAAACAAGATGGGTATGCCTGCAATCAAAATCAGGTATTCTAGGCTTTACATCTTTAATTAATTAAAAAAATTAGTTGGAACTTTTTTCCCTTTTTGATAAATGTAACTTTGGAGGGAAATTACTCAAGTAAATTATTGCATTGTGATTCTAACTCAGAGTTGTTTTATGTCATACCAGTTATTAAAGATATTTAACTCTGGTGGCAAATTGTCCAGGGTGCAGGAAAAGAAAAAAGGTACAATAGTTGCACAATTCAGAACCTAATTTACTGAGTTGTGACCATCTTTAAATAAGTTCAGCCTGTCTGTTATGGGACAATAGGACAATCTACTATAATATGTTTTTTAAATAACCTCAACATTCACATATATGAGAAGCTAAGAATCATTTTAGTATCATTCAAAGAAATGTGTCATATTTTGCTTTCCATGAAAATTTAAATTTGCAGGTCATTACTTGGATATTAGAGAACCACACTCTGAGACGTGTTCTAAGTTTTGAAGTTTAACTGTGTGGTATCTTTTGTGTCTGTTAAATTCATAATTTTTCCTGGTCACTATGAAAAATATGAGTGCATGGGCTGAAAAACTGTACCTCATTCAACCAGAAGGAGGCCTTGTATGGAGTCAGAATTTTAGTGTCAGTCACGTGTGCCTCACTCCATGTGTGCTCTTGTCCCCAGGGCCGCTGCTACAATGGCGAGTGCAAGACCAGGGACAACCAGTGTCAGTACATCTGGGGCACAAGTAGGTTGCGCCTTCCTTCTTGATGATCACATGTTCTGCTTCCTGTACCTTGTACTTCTCTTTCAGCCTGCCTGACAAAATTGCACAGCTTATAGTGATTTAAAGAAATCTAGAAAAGAGTGAGAATAAAGAGAACTGTGACTCCTAGTCACACAATCTATACAGCTCAGTAGTGTAGTGCAGGAGAGGCATGGTTTGATCCCCAGCCTCCCCTGCCAAATAATAATAACACAAAAACTATAGAAAACAACCTCTCAAGGTGAGGATTTGTCATTGGAACTGAAGAGTGTTGCTCAGTGATATTCATCGTACAGCTCCTTGCAAGATTTGCTTTGTGCCTTGTCTTTAATATTTACCCTCTTTACCCTCTTACCCATTAGTTTTCTGTTCTTTTAACCTAGGAAAATACTAGGCTTTTTAAAAAAAATTCTGCCATTCGGTATCTCAGTTCTGCAAGTTCTTGCTAAGGAGTAGATATGTACACGATCATAAATCTCGGAGCATTTCCTAAATGTTAACACACATCCTGTCTTTCTGACATTTACCATGCCTCACCAATGGCTTTAGTTCACAAGGACCAGACAGGAAGCTTGAGACATGGGTCTGCCTTGCTGCTGAAGCTAGGTGCCCTCAAAGGGAAAGAAGAAAGCACACAAAAGCAAAGAGCCTCTGGCATAAGCCATTTCAGTGTTTGGCAAATGTCATTAACTGTTTTGATAGAAGAAAGATCATTCCATGCTTCGGTTTTGATAGAAGAAAGATCACTGAGATACATGGTCTTTTAAAAGATTTAAATATCAAAACCCAATTACCGATATAAAATCTCAGTGGGCTAAGACTTTATAATTAATCTTCTACTATTAATATAAAACAGGATTAATAATGTTTATAAGTGTTCTGTGTGTCACTTCACCGGTTCTTACTGATGAGCCTTACAAAAACTGCCCATCCTCAAACCCACTCACAAGAACTGGCAAGACATTTGTTTCGCACATTAAACGTAATATGCTGGAGTTTTTTGAGTTAATTCACAAGAACTATTTGTTAAATTTTCCAGGATTTGATAAGCCAGTGTATGCCATATTAATAGCTTCAAATTAGCCCTTCAAATTAGCCCTTCAAATTAATACCTTCAAATTAGTGGTATTTACACCATAGAAATTGGCAAATGCTACATGTCAGGAATTTTTTTTCCCTAGAGAAGTTATTGAAACATATTGTAGCATCTTACTGGTTACGGATAACAAAAAGATCTAAAGTTAGTTTTCTTCTCTTGCCTGTCTGCTAAAGAGGCTGCAGGGTCTGACAAGTTCTGCTATGAAAAACTGAACACAGAAGGCACTGAGAAGGGCAACTGCGGGAAGGATGGAGACCGATGGATCCAGTGCAGCAAACAGTGAGTGGGAAGCCCAGATGCAAATGCAGGCTGAGGCCAAATAAATGCTGCTTCTGTTTAATAAATGCCCAGTATTAAAAAATTTAAAAAGTGTATTTTAAGAATATTTTGGCATAGGTAGAGCCAAATGACAGCAGACTAACCTGTCATCCTTTCTGGAGAAGTCAGAAAATTTATCATATGCTATATGTCACTTGATTCTTCTTTTCTTCTTCTTTTTTTTTTTATTTTAAAGAGTAAAAGAAGGATAACATAATAATAGGGGGGACTTAGCAAATTACAGACAAAATGGTAGGAAATTATCAATGGTTATTGTTTTATATATTGTTATCTACAAAATAGTTTCTCAGGAAAACAAATAGACAAATAATAGTGAGTTAGAGACAAAAGAGGTAGGAGATTATCAAGAGTTGTTGTACTATACTTTGGTATCTTCAAAGTGGCTTCTAAAGAAAATAAATAGAGCTATACATGAGTGACCTATTGAAAAATCATTAACTATTCTCAATGGTTGTTGTAGGAAACACATAATAATAAACATACATCCATTTATGAAATAGGATAGGAACATTACAAACTTTACACAGTTATGGATAGATTAGTAGGAAAATATCAATGGCTGCTGTAATACATGGTGGTATCTTCAAAGTGGTTTCTCAGGAAGACAGAGATATGCAAGAAGGATCTAATAAGTAGTTACAGCCTAAGGGTTGTCAAAAATAGCATATTACCTCCTCACCAGTGACTCCTTTCACTGAGGTATGATGGCTGGAAGGAAGGCCAGGATTGAAAAGAAGGACTGAGAGACTTGCACCTGTGTCTAGCAACAGGCTGTTTTCTTGTTCCTCCATAGTCATGATTACCCAGGACTCCTCAATGGAGATGACTGTCTGGCCAGAGGGAGAAGGCAGAGCATGCCACAAGCCCTCTCATTCCTGTTGGACTAACTGGTGGCATGGGTCTGAGCTCTGGGGCCTCCACCTCAGAGGGCAGACCGATCTCCAGTGGTCTCCTTTGCATCCAGGGCATGGCCCATGGGGCCTCCCAGGACAGTTCCTCTTGAGGTGGCCTGGCTTTTAACCGTGGTAGCAGATGAATGCAGTTGTCGAGTTCTTCTTGGGGCCCCGGGAATCAGACCTGGGATCTGTTTCTCTTAGTGGTGCAGCAAAAGCAGCTGCTTTTTCTCGGTCTCTTTGTTTTCTCTCCTTGGCCTCCTCCTCATCATGGCTATAGAATGCTGAGGAGGTAATTCTTACTTACATCTCAAGTGAGCTGTCTGGGGTGAAAGCTATTCTTTGTAGCTTTTTCTCTCCAGCTTCCCATTGCTTTGGGACCCCATTGATTCTTCTTTTCAAGAAATATTTTTTGAATAAGTATTATGAATGACTATTAGGTTTTAATTCTCTACTTTTGCTAGAATACAGAGTTGAAAAAGTAAATTATGTAGACAGTGGATATTTTGGAGCTTCCTCAAAGTAAGATAATACTATATTGTATTAGCCACTTCTTCATTGCTAGGACAAAATATCTGACATCCATAACTTAAAGGAGGAGGATTTTATTTGGCTCACAGTCTCAGAGGGTTTAGTCCATGTCTGTCTGGCTCCAAGGCAGAAATGACATGGTAGAAGGACCTGGTGGAGAAAAGTTGCTCAAACGATGGCAGCCAGGAAGCATAACAGGGGAAGGGTGCCATTGAGAGATATGCTGACTAAAACCATGCCCCTAGTGACCCAACTCTAATGTACCCTACTTCCTAATAACACCTTCAACTCTAACATCAATGAACTCATCTACTGATGTGTACAGTGCCCCATGATCCAATCACTTATTCAGGAGTCATTTAATGGAGTCAAGTAACAAAAGTATGTTAACCATGCCATACATTGTTACTCATTTCACAAATGGGGACCCTTTTGATATTAGTCACCTGATATCTATAGTAGAAACTTTTCCCTGCTAAAAAGCACCTTGTTGGTGCATATTGAAAAATATACTTATACAGGAAAATGAGATTTTTTCAGAGAATATTGGTTTCATTTTTCTTTGGTTGGTTGAGGAAAGTTAGAGTTGTGGTTAGGTAGTTTATTCTGGTTAATGTAGTGCGTTGGGACTATGGAACCATTTAATTATCAGTCAGAGGTCCTTTGTTTTCTTCCCATAGCAACGAGGCTCTTTCTCCCTATTTCAACACAGCAAGGATTTAAGGGAGGTTTGTTTTTCTAGTTAATTGTCTCTGTGCTATACTTTAAGAAACCTTGCAATTGCGTTTGATGGTGGAAGAGGCCTTAGAAGGCCTTTGATGGTGGAAGAGGCCTTAGAAGGCAAAAATCTTTAAGTATAATTTCTTTAAAATTAAAAGTAGAAGAGGACAGAACTTCCCATCTGATGTCTTACAAGTGAAGCGTAGATGTTCCAAGGTGTTGATGCTCAGTTACTGAGGTACTAGGAAGTAGGAAAGGCTGAAGTAGTCTAAATCGGTGGGTTGGGCCACTTTGAATTGGATTAGCTTTGTTCATTAGCTTCATGTCTTAGAAAAATTTGGTCATTCCTCTGTATCTCTGTAACTTTAATAAATTTGGGAGGCATTGGGCCAGATGATGGTGAATGAGATCTTCTGAATATCTGATAATAGAATATTCAATCCCTAGTGAGTTAAGGAAAATTAGTGTGTGCTTTTGTAACCTTAAAAATTGTGAAATATAATATATAAACTGAAAAATGAATAACACACGAGTATACTTTCATTCAAATATTTATCATGTGAATTCCCATGCAATTCCTACCTGGGTCAAGAGCTAGAATGTGACAGCATCCCACAAATAATGTCTCCTTCCCCATGTCAACTCCCCCGCTCTCTTGGAGGTCCCTTCACCCTGACTTGTGTGAAAATGACTTTCTTGCTTTTCTATAGTTTTATTTCCTAAGTTTTCATCCCCAATGCTTCTGCATTATTTTATATTTTGCTTCTGAAGTTCAGTCTTTTAAGAGTTTTCCCACTGTTCAGCATTTTCAGAGTTTTTCACAATATGCTCTTACTTTTATTGTCCTTTATTTTCCTTTTGTTCACACATATGTGAACACACTGCAGCTTAGTGCTCTATTCTATGTTGATGGACATTTGGTTTATTTCTCTGTGTTGCTCATTAGGAACTATATTGCTGCCAGCATTTTTCTATATGTAACTTAGTGCACATTTCCCTTAGGTCTGTACCCAGCAGAAAATGCTAAGTCATAGGGAGTGAATATTTTCAGTGTTAAATTGTTTTTGAAAAATGAGGTGAAAATCCAGCCATCAGTCATACAGATATTAAAATTTGTTGTACCACCTTCTCACTAATACTTGATCTTACCAGGTCATTTACTTCTATCTTTTATGGGAGTGTGAATATTATCATTGTAATTTGCATTCCCAGGTTCTAAATGGAATTTAGCACATTTTGATACATTTATCAGACACTGATTCCCTTTTTAGTGAAGTAATATTTCCATTCTGTACCCATTTTTAAAGAGTCATTGTTTACTGAACCAGTAGAGCGGAAGTAGGCATCCTCATGGTGGGTGAGTCATATAATGACGTCCTCATGGACGCAGACAATTTCTGCTCTCTATTCTATAACCCTTGGATTGCTAATTTTGTCCTGATGCTTGTGAAGTCATGATCGTAAAGTAGATGCAAAAACTGCATATTCACAGGAAGAAAGTAGTGGTAGGTACAAAAGGTTTTTCTCTTGTTAGGCTTTAAACTTTTATCCAGTAATAAAACCAGTAAGCAGTTCACCAGCAGAATTGATCTCATATCACTGTAGCTCTGCCTGCTTTTATCTCGAGACTGGGGAGGAGGGAGGCACAGGAAGCTTGTGTAGGAAGTGGAAGCTCCACGACTAGCTGAGCTCGGTCATAGTCCATCTTCAGGGCTGTGTGCTTCACTGCCCTAAATGGAACTGTGGTCTTCCTGACAGGCAGAAGGGGTCATAACCAAGCCAAAGTATCTGAACAAATATTTTTATTTCAAAGGAAAAAACATGTTTAAACTTTATGAATATGTTTATATTCATATATATGTGAACTGAATAGTTTTGATTATTTTCACTTTGATTCCTTCTGTCTTGATCTATTTTTTCTTTTCTTTTTTTTAACATATTTAGTGATGTGTTCTGTGGGTTTTTACTTTGTACCAATCTCACTCGAGTGCCCCGCATTGGTCAACTTCACGGCGAGATCATTCCAACGTCCTTCTACCATCAAGGCCGAGTTATTGACTGCAGGTAACACACTGAATATTGGAAAACCTCATGAAACATGAGAATTACAAATTGCAAAAATCCAATCTTGAAAAAAATCAAAATTTTTCTATCAATTACAGGAGGAAAGTTGACTTCCCTTTCATATTGAGAGTCACTTAGAAAAGTATATTTTAAAAAAAGTAGTGTACTGATTTGTAAATTACATTTGCTCAAAATTATGCACGTTATTTATAGTGAGGCATTCTTTCAAATCATAATCTTAAGAATAGAACTATTAGAGGTTGAGTGTCCTTTATCACAGATTTTTGGGACCAGAAGTGTTCTGGATTTTGGGATGTTTGCTTATATATAATGAGATATCTTGGAAATTCATTTATATTTTATATATACGTGCACATATATACTTTATGCATATAGCTAAAGGTAGATTTAATTTATATTTTTAGTTTATTTTTACAAAAATAGTTTTTAATTAATATTTTAAATTTATTTTTATCAACATAGAGTATAAATTGTGCATGTTCATGGAGTTCACTGTGATGTTTGCATACAAGCACAGAACGTGCATGTCTTACATACAGCTACCTTTCTTCCATCCCCTGAACTCTTCCAGTCCCTCATAATCAGGTCCATTTTCTTTAATTTCCACATAAGAGAACATGTGGTACACAGTCAAATGTGGAATTTTCCACTTGTGGTATTATATTAGTGCTCAGATATTTTCAGATTTTGGAACATTTCTGGCTTCAGATTTTTTTGATAGAAATGTCCAGTCTGCATTCATTTTAACCCATGATTAAAATTTTTGAGCATTGAAATATGTCACAATTTGTACATAATATATATGTTTTATTTTTATGATGAAAAAAGGGTTTTAAGCTATACTTTACGTAGCATGTGTCTGGTTTACAATACAGTTTAACACATCCTCGATTATATATACAAGATATTTATTACAATAAACAGTTATCAACACACATTCCATATTCAGTTATTCTGTGAGTAAAAGACATACAGTTATGAGTTTTATTATCTTTTTAAGCTTGGGAGTCATAGTCCAAGGAAGTGTCATTCCCTTTGTAATTCTAAGATCCTACTCTCTTACTCAAAGATACTCCTGTGGTCCAGACACTTCTGGGATTCCCTTCAGAATTGCCTTCAGCATCTGCACTTTTATTTTTAGTGTCCCCAGAATGCCAAACCTTCATCTTATATGAGTAAATGAAAGATTTGGAATTGTGCAAAAGTAATTTTAATAACTGATTGACTTTCAAATTGGATAATGTCTTAGACAAATGATTGCTGTTTTCCTCTCTTTTTAAATGATTGCAGGCAGTTCTCATCCTTGGAATAAAGTTACAGTCTTCAAAATTAGTTTCTTTGCTTCACACAGTTTTCTTTGTATGTGTACATTCTCACTTATCTTCAGCAGCCTAGTTAAGTTATATTGTTATATTCTACACTAGCATATCTGTAAAATATTTAGGAAGATACTGTTAGTAATTATAGCACTGATTATCATTCAAATTCAAGTTGTTCATTTGAAATTTTAGAAATATCAGTAGAGCAGAGCTAGTTTGTTTATTTTCTCAATTATGAATAATCAAATTCTCTGAAGCAAAAATAATAATTTTCAAAATACTGTCATTTGCTGTTTTTGCTCAACATCTGCTTTTTTTTCTACAATGCCACATCTGGAAGCCTTGGAGGGCGAATGGCAGATTTGCTGCTTTTGTTCTTATTCAAGCACTCCTCCCCAGTCTTGATATTGGGTGTTGGAAAACAGTGAAGAGTGAGAACAAATGTGTGCAGATGACAGTTTTTCTTGATTAAGGAAAAGAGGAAGCAAAGCGTAGAAAGATGCCAGGAGAAACCTCTGTCCACTCATGGGATCTTCAGTTTCATAAAGAGCAAGCTCACTCATGCTGATGTTGTATTTATAATTACAGTGCTAATGGTTGTGTGGGTATCTTTCTCCTTTTAGTGGTGCTCATGTAGTTTTAGATGATGACACAGATGTGGGCTATGTGGAAGATGGCACGCCATGTGGCCCGTCCATGATGTGTTTAGATCGGAAGTGCCTACAGATTCAAGCCCTAAATATGAGCAGCTGCCCACTTGATTCCAAGGGTAAAGTCTGTTCAGGCCATGGGGTAAGTAAGCACCAGTCTTCCAGCTCAAACTCCTCTCTGCCTGAAAGTTCACTTCAGCTATTTTCCTATAGTGACTGTTGCCAGTATCTATGCACTAATTATGATTATTTTCTTAGTATTTTTATCTGCTAAGAATAAACCAGGCATTAATTTTTGTTGTTTCTCATATCACCAGCTATTTGTATTCTCCACATTTTCCAGATGTAACTTAATATCTATAGTAGGACTCTGCAGAAAAACAAAGTCAGTAGATCCATTTATCTGTCTGTCTGTCTATCTGTCTATCGATCTTTATATCTATAAAGGGAATACATTATAAGAAATTGGTTCAGATGATTATGAGGGTTGAGAAGACCCACAACTGGCTGTCTGTAAAAATGGACAACCAAACCAGACATGTACCCCTGTAATCCCAGTTATGTTTGGAAAGTGAGGCAGGAGGATTATAAATTCACTTTCTTCTTGAGTGATTTGTCAAGATCCTGCCTAGAAGTAAAATATAAAAGGGCTGGGAACCTGGCACAGAGGGAGAGCATTTGGCAAGTATGTCAAGGCCCTGGGTTAAATCTTCAGCACTGCACTTTAAAAAAAATGGAGAGCCAGGAAAGCCAATCTAAAATTCAGTCTAAATCCAAAGGCCTGAGAATTAGTAGAGCCAGTGGTATAAATCCCAGTTGTAAGGCTTGTGAATATGAGATGAGATGTTCCAGCCAAGTAGAGAAGCAGGGAAAAATGGGGCTGAATTTCTCTTCCTCTTCCTTATTCTCTCTTCAGCCTCTCAGTGGATTGAGTGATGCTCACCTGTACTGAGAAGATCCATTGAATCAATGGATGCCATTGATTCAAATGCCAGCTATATCCAGAACCGTGATCACAGTTGACAGATATGTCCAGATACAATGTGCAATTGGGCATTCCATGGCCAAGCCAAGTTTGCAGATAAAATTAATCATCCCAACATTTAAAACATGGAATAAAATGGATATGGTTCCTAAAGGAAGTAAAGACTCCATGTGGCTGTTTTGCATAATGCAAAACAAACTACCTCAGTAACTCTCGTTCGGCTACTGAGTAAGCACATGCTGATTGTGTGTGCAAGGTCACACTAGACCAGATGTTGGAACATGGATGATTCCACATGTTTATGGTCATGCTTGGGCCATTGTCAGCCGAAGAGAAAATGCTGTCTCTATCCATATCTGCCTGTATCTTTAATTCTGTGAACAAAGTGTTTTGGCAAGGCTTTCTTACTGGAAAATATAAGCATTATATCAAAAACAAGTTTTAATAGTTATTTAATAGAAAGAAAAAGTGGAAACAAAGTTTTTGTAAATAAGGAGGTGAAGAGGGTTGAAGGGAGGGGAGGGAGAGAAGGAAAAAAAAGACTTGAGATTTGTACAGGTAATAATTCACTATGATGGATGTTATGATGTATCTAAAGTGTGCCAATAAAACTAATTTAAAAATTGAAAAAATAAATTGGACTAGAAAAAAGAAGGTATTAGAAAATTGATACAGACATCAGAAATGAAAAAAAGAGAGACATGAGAAAAACTGAGAGGAATAATATAAAAGAGGCATCCTGGAATGAAGGTAAAAGTAGTGTGAAAAAGAAGTCTAGGTGGTATGGAGTAGACAGAGGAAAGGCCCAGGAACTTTGGGTCCAGACATGATCTAGAGTTTTGGGTTTGGTTGAAGCAGAGGCTCATAAACAGTACAGTACTGTGATTTAAGAGCATGGATTTGGAGGGAATCATAGGTTTGAGTGTTTTCTTTTCTTGCTATTACAGTGACTTCATATAAAATCACTTACCCTCTCTCAGCCCCCAGCATGCTGGGGTGAGGATTAAGAAAGATGCTTTATGTAAAATACTTAGCATAGGTACTTGGCACAGATTAAGTGTTCAAATCACTGGACAGGCTTTTCAGGAATTTCAGTTACTGCTGTGACAATATACAACTTAATTCACGGAAAGGTCCTAACTATTTTCCTGCCGGTCCTCCATGTTTATCTTGCTTTAAGAAGATTGGATTCAGCCATATTAGTGGTAATTGTGGTATTGAAACATTTCATAGTCAACTTCTAAATTTGATAATCATCTCTGATACCTATTTCTGAAAGTAATTCACAGGGAGAAGGGTTTAAACACCCTTCTCTTTAGCTGGCGAATGGTTAGTTATTTTATCTAAATTACAAGTCCATTCTAGTTCCACCGTCCCCAAAGAGAGGAGACCAAGGTCACTCCAAGGTCTTCAGCCTGGCTGACTGATGAAGAGCTAATCCATGGCCTGGCCGGGGTAATGGGAAGAGGCCTTGTTGGGTAGCGAAAGTGCCAACAAATGAACTTGTTGGGGCATGGTGGCTTCATGCAATGAGCTGGTGTCTTATAGCTCATGGCCTTTTATTGACAGCAGTGTCTCTTGACATTGTATAGATGTTTTTGCATACGTTTCTAGAAACAACTGTTTCTAAAAAACTACTTTGTTAAACATTTGTATACATAAACAGTATTATAAATAACACACATTTTAAAAGTTTTCTTAAAAAATGTTTTCTTCTTTTTAACCTTTACTTTTCCTACAATTAACAGAAAAAAGATACAGTTGTTTGATCTGTGTATCATTAATCCCTTGTCTATTGCTGAAAATATGGAAACTTGAAGGAAATTCCAAACGATTTGTAAAGCTTCTCTGTCCCACATTTACCCTTTACATTTATCGCCACTGTCCTGCACAGCACGGTGGAAATGCCCGGTCTCTGTTCTGCTTTCTTCACAGGTGTGCAGTAACGAAGCCACCTGCATCTGTGACTTCACGTGGGCAGGGACAGATTGCAGCATCCGGGATCCAGTTAGGAATCTTCACCCACCTAAGGATGAAGGACCTAAGGGTTTGTGTGATTTCAGTTTCAATTCATCGCATGCTGCATCCAGTCACACTAGATTGGAAAGGAGGCACATATGGATATCTATTTTTGCCATTAAAATGTGTAACTCAGAAGTAAGGATTCTGTGTCTATTGTGTTTTTAAAACTGTGTTTGAATTACCACTTAACCTAGGTTAAGAAGTAAATATACAGATACCCTTGAATCCAGTTTCGTTTCTCTCCTTTAAACATCTTCATTTTCCCATAATCACAAATATTTTTGTCTAAGCTATGCTAGTTTTCTAGTAGATGAAGTCTCTTTTTATTCCTCAATATTTGTATCCCTCCCAAGGAAGTTGTAGCCTTCCGTGCCTCCTTGAAACACTCCTTTTTGATTGGGAAGGACTTGAATTCTTAAGAGAAAACATGAATGGTCCATATTTTTGTTTTAATAGCTATGAAGAGAGAAAGTAGAGTTTTAGAATTAGGAGTCTCAGTGGCCACCTGGTACTGCCCTCTGATTGTGTGATTGAGATGCCCAGGCCCTAAGATCAGGTAACATACTAAGTTACCCAGGTAACTAGAGGTCACTCTGGGATCAGGATCCAAGAGCCTGATCTTAGACTCATGCACTCTTCCATTATATGTAGGAATAGGCTTACCCTACAGCATCTTACCCTACTCTACGTGAGAAACCAAGAAATACTAGAACCAAATTTTGCGTGTATGGTTCTGGGGATTGAACCCTGGACCTTCACACTGAGCTATGTCCCCAGCCCTCTTTTCTTTATACTTTTTGAGACAAGGTCTTGCTGCTAAGTCACTGCTGGGCTGAAATCTTGCAGTTTTCCTGCCTTGGCCTCATAGAGTTTTGGTATTACAGACATGTGCCACCATGTCCAGCCAGGATTAACTTCTAAATAGAGTCATGACATTGCACATCAGCTTCTTTTTCACAATACTCCTCTCAGTAGTTTCTAAATAACTGCCATACTTTTCCCCTTCAAGTAGAAAAGCACACACAGGAATAATATCACGTTGATCAGCTTTGTTTTGGGTAAAAGCTCATTTAAATTAACTGCACTTTAGTATAGTCTGTATAGGAAAATATGACTCCATAAACAGAGAAAGTTTGGTAGCTGGAGTGCCTGAAGAGATTTGGGCTAGTTCGGATGCATGCGAATTGTTCTGTGACGGTTGGTGTGACTAAACACATTTCATGAATTTGCTTAATATGTCCAAAATATTAAAATTCTGTATAAGAGGCATTATCATTATCACACTTGTCCCAAGAAAAGTTAGCTTTGGGGATGTAAAGCAAACAGTGTGTGCTGGAAGAGAGGGTACTACCTTCTGTTTTGTTTTCTCCTATTTAATATGGTGGCATTCTAAATTGTCTTTAAGGGAAAAACCTTTTTTGATTATTCAAGTCATACATATTTGTTGTAGGAAAGTTTCTAGAGCAGTAAAATTACTCATTATAGAAAATGCAGAAAAGATTTAAAAAGCAGTAATAATCATCCTTAATTTCATAACTCATAGGTAATGAATATAAGCATTTTGGTGTATTTTTTTCCTGTTGCAAGTTTTTCTTTTTTATTTATTCTTAGAGAAGACAATGAATCATTAGAATAAAGGCATCCACTGGTATCAATATTATTAAAATTCTTCTAAATTTCAATAATGTTGATTAAATTGAAAAGAAGTCATTCATTAATATAAGTGAAGATCAGTCATGTAGATTTCCAAAAAAACCAAGCAGGTTTAGTATAACTAAATAATAGTTTAGTCAGTAATGATTATTTTTCGCTTTTCAACTTTGTAGAAAAATCAATATACTCGTGAAATGGGAAAGAATAGAAATCAAACATTCAAAGTTGTGTTGATTTTAGAATTTTATTTTTAACATTCTGGTTAAAAGAAGTTGTAAAGAGAATGCACTTTGTTTTTATTTTTATCCCTTTATTGATGGTCTGGAATTTAAGACAGTGTATCTCTGGCACATAGTGCACAGTCACTAAATATTTTATTACTTCCTTTTGAGAATATAGAAAAGAAATGCAGTGCCACATGTTAGTGCTGATTTTAAGTTTATTCATATCTGTTCGCTGTTCAGGTAATGAGCTCACAATATCCATGCAACAGTCCTGTTTTGACTATAGGTTCTGCAGTGATTGAGGTTCCAAGGTTTTCTCAGTAACTGCACACTGTATCTTGTTTCTCAAGATCTGATTGGTTTGGTGGCACTTGCTTTATGCAGCACAGGGTCTGGGCCTGCTCCAGTGCTCGCCACATATAAGAGGCACTCGTAAGATCTGGCTAGTCATACCCACAGGTGAACATGTTCTGTACAGATGCAGTGAGAGGGTATCACAAATACTTGTACTTCATGCGCTTTCTTGATATGCAGAAAAACTGAAGAAACATAAAAAAAATGTTTCTTATTTTAAAAAATCACGAATCTGGGCATTAATTTGCACAAAGCAGCCTTTTGGATCAAGATCAAATTAGCAAAAATAAAGCTGAATTCTGTGACTCCTTTCTATCAAATCATTATATTGTGATTTGGGAGTGTCTAAAAGGAACTGATACATTTCTGATATTTCTTTTTAATTATAAGTTCCTGGAAGAATAAGAAATTCAATTTCTTCATTGGGGTAGAGATGCAAAACCTCCGGGTAGTCATTGCACGTACTAAGCTTGTTCATGGTAGACCCAGAGTACAGCCTGCTGGGATAGCACTCCAACTTTTCAAACAAATTAGCGAAAGACAAGAAATAGGATCTTGAAGCACAAATGTGATAAATAAGAATTATCTTCCTTTTTTGTAGTGATGGAAATTGAACTCAGGGCCCCATACCTTGCTAGCCAGGTGCTCTACCACTGAGCTACCCCACCAGGCTCCTGAGTAAGGATTTTCAAGAAGATTTTCTGTTGCATATTACTTCCTTCATTTTTCTGCATTGTCATTTATCCCATATGTAAACGTTCTTTTGTCCCTCTTCTCCCAACTTGTTTCACTGGAATCACTGAAAGAAGTTATTTGCTAGAAGGATAGAATACATTTTAACTCTGTTCAAAAGAATTTTTGCACAGTGATTCTAGTGGAGTACAGTGGAACATCTCTCATTTGAGCCTATCATGGCATCATCACATGAGGAGGAGAAGAAACTGGATCATAAAAACATTTGCAGTGATATACGTGTGGGCAGAGTCAATGCTCTTAGGAAGCCTTGGCCAGGTCCTTCTAACAAGACCGTTGTCATCAGATCAGAGATAAAAAGAGCCCTTGAGGCAGTTCAGTCCAGCCCCATTGTTTTATAAATGAGAAAACTAACTTAATTATCAGGCTTAACATCTAATTAGTGAGAGCCAAAAATAAAATTTAATCACCTGAGCTTGAGCCCAGTGTTTTCTCTTTTCTGTTATTCCTACAGCTTCATTGAAAGCTGAATTAAGCTATTCTGCTAGCTCTTTGTGTACAGTGGAGAGTAGACACAGTGAATGCAAGGGCCAGGGATATAGCTCAGTGGCACAGTGCCTTGCTTGGTGAGTGCAAGGTCCTGAGTTCAATTCCTGGCACCAAAAAAAAAAGAAAGAGTGAAACCAGGCAATGATTAAGCTTATTCACTGGTCAATTACTTGTCATTGACACTGAATATGGAATTAAAGAAAAAATGTTATATTATTAGAATTTAGGATTTTGAACGCAATGTTTTCTACATTTTAATAATTACTTAATGAGTATGATTTAGTGTTTACATTTACCTTTAGCATGTGTCCTTTTGATGACTTTGTGTGTGTACAAATCTTTGATTTTATGGTTCACATTATTAGATATGAGGTACCATGGTTATCATATGTGATTGTGTTTGTAAATAACCTGATCATTTTTCTCATTAGTCAAGATCTCACCAATAACTTAAGGAATTACCACGTTTTAAAATATTTTAGTAACTGTGAGTTTGAGTACAGAAAAATTATTTTCATTGAAAGCGTACTTTGAAATAACGTTCTTTTTTTTTGTGAATATAACCCAGAACCTCATGCATGCTAGGCAAGTGTTGTAACACTGAGCTCTACCACCAGCCCCTGACATAATATTCTTTTTTTTTGTTTGTTTTTGTTTTTGTTTTTCTCCGGTACCGGGAACCGAACTCACGACCTTGCGCTTGCCAGGCAGGCGCTTTTGCCGCTGAGCTAAATCCCCAGCCCCCTGACATAATATTCTTAATGAAATAAGAATCCATTCAGACATTTGTCCTAGTGTATTAAAAAAGGACTTTACTCTTTTAATTTCATGGAAAACAGTAAGGAGATCAAAGATATGTCTAATATATTGAAATGTGGAGCAAGATAAAATATCTGATTGTAATAATAGTATTATACTATTAAGTATAATAAGTTTATTTAACATTATTTCTCATCCTAAGTTTTAGTGCGATAAATTCTTGCAGAAAGAGCTTTGGTCTATGAAGACCAGTGATAGCTTTGTTGCCTCTTGCCTCTGAAACATTAAGGGACACAGGATTTTAGCCACATTTGGCATTGAAATTACATGAGTGAAATAGTGTGCTGTTTCAGAAACTCAAAGAAAACAGCCAGTTGGTCTCAAAAGAGCATAATCTCTGAATATCTGAAACATGACTCTTCCATGGAGGAAGTCTATATAGAGAGAATCTTAGAAAAGGGAAAATCTATAGTTTATATTTTGAGATTACATGCAGATCAACAATTCCACCTTTTAGTACAACTCAGGGAAAAGGGAGCAAGGGTAAAGATTATAAACCCATAACTGAAATAAATATAAAAACATACTGCCAGGTGATGAACAGGGTCCACAAGACACATTACAATGAAAGGTGACAGTGTCAGAGAGAAAGTTAAATTCCTGACATGGGAATTATGCTGCTAACCGGAAACAGTAAGAGCTCTGTCTTCAGGTTTGGTAGGATGAGAAGAAAAATAAGGTATATCGTCACGTGTTCAGCATAATACCTGGGAGGGGATAAAATGAAGTTAGT